TCCATCCATCCAGCCATCCATCATCCATCCATCCATCCATCCATCCATCCATCCATCCATCCATCCAACCATCCAACCAACCATCCATTATCTTTAACCACTTCTTTCTTTTCGAGTCACTGGGGTCACTGGAGCCCAGGGACACATAGAGACAACCATCCACTCTCTCACTCACACCTAGGGACAATTTAGAGTTACCAATCAGCCTAACATGCATGTTTTTGGTCTGTGGGAGGAAACTGGAGAAAACCCACGCATGCACAGAGAGAACAAGCAAACTACACCCAAATAGGCCCCCACGGCCGGGATTCGATCTGGCAATGTTTTTGGTGAGAGGCAACAGCTCCACTGACTGAGCCACCGTGCAGCTCAAAACCCCCCAAATGATCCAAAACCTCCCAACAGATCCAACATCAGTTTTGTGTTTCTCGTTAGTTTTTGTAGGGGTTTTTTGTGTGTTGTCAAACATTTCTCTTGTTTTTGTTTTGCAGTGTGGGACTGGATTGCGGATGCTTCAGGTAAAACTCTGCCATTTTATCGTTTCATCAGGTTTTGGTGATAATGATGTGTCTATAACTCCAACCTGTTTTCTGTCTCTAAAAGTGGACGTGACTCTGGACCTGGACACAGCCAACCCGGATCTGCTCATCTCCCCCGATGAGAAGAAGATGCGCTGCGGCTTCGAGAGGAAAGACATCCCCAACTTCCACCAGCGCTTCGACGGCTGGTGGTGCGCTGTTGGGGTGGAGGGCCTGGGCTCCGGCCGCCACTACTGGGAGGCGGAGGTGGGCGAGCGCGACTGGCGGCTGGGTGTGGCCAAAGAGTCGGCCCTGAGGAAGGGCTTCAAGTCCCTCAACACGAACACGGGGTACCTGACCCTGCGGCTGGAGAGGGGCTCCGAGCTGAAGGCCCTGACGGTGCCCTTCACCGCCCTGCCACCTGGCCTCATCCCCCGCAAGGTGGGCATCTACCTTGACCACAACAACGGGCAGCTGTCCTTCTATGACGTGGACAAACGCTCGCACATTTACACCTATAACGAGCCCTTCACCGAGAGGCTGTTCCCGTTGTTCGGAACGGTGGAGATCATCAAGGATCTGGTGATCCGGTCTCCAGCTGCAAAGACCCACTGCCTCTGCCCCACTTCCTGCCTGTGGGGTTAGAGTACCCTCCACCTGGAGCGACCACCATAATGGGAGTAAAACCAGTTAGAATCACAGAAGAATCATGAAGAGCAACCTCTGCTCCACTGTGCGACCGCTTTGTGCTCTGCTTCTGCTCTAACGTGACGGCTGCTGCTACTTTACTGCTGTAGTTAAAAAGCACTTTACTTGTTTTGTGCAATACTTAATCTGTAAACTGAGGTGCACATGTGTGGATAATAAATAAAGCTAATCCTAACCGAGCTTTTAGCCTGTTTTTAGTACATCGAAGATCTCTTGAGGCGCTTTGGTTTTTTTAACCAAACCCTTCATGGAATTGGATTTTAATGTTTGTTTTTTACCCACAGCAACAAACTAGTTTTAGTACTTTTCGTGCTAACTTCCTGCAAATATGCAAATGATTCTACAAAAACGACGCAAATCATGTTGAATAAATTTGTTTATCTAGCTTCCAGCCTCACAGAAGGATATTTTGGAATAGCTTTATGAGAAGATTCTCAGAAGAAGAAATATACTGACTTAATTTGATAACAGTAAGATATACTGCAGAAAAACAAAGTCAAAACCAAAGTATTAGTTTTATTTTTTTTAAATATATAAGTCACAATTACATGTCGAACAAAATGGCCTAATTTGATGACACCAGCATCGTCAGGTGAGGTGAAAGTGGTCCAGACGTGTCAGAGGTCAGTACAGATCAAACTGCACCTGCTGGTCAGGGACCTGACCCGACAGACAACCACTGGTCTGAGACTGCAGCCATGACCTTGTACCCTTGAACACAGCTGGGCTCCTCATGGTCTCAATCTCAAAAACCTCAGAGACAAATGATGAGGGAAACTCGGGGCTTGCAGGGCACGCCTGCCCAGACTAGTGGGCTGTGTCCTTTCTGAGCCCCCAGAGCCGCTCCTTGGTTGAGTATGCAGTGAACTGCAGCGCCTCATTACATTTAAGCAGTTTCAAGTTAAAATCCTACACGTCCAGTAAGAGATTTCTGGGATTTCATGGTAGTCTGATGCTTGATTGCTGTACGGATTGTAAAGTAGGCCCAGGTGGGTTTAAATCTCCCAGGAACAACAGGATCAACGACAGGTGAGTTTTCTGCTTGATTTTGGTTCGTGTTAAGTACTGATTGAAGGGATACTGTCCTCAACGTCAAACTTGATGTTTTTTGTGACAGAGCCATGCTGATGCAACATGTGCAGGGTAAGAAACATTGTGCCGAAAAAAAGTAATGCTTATTTATTATTATGGCTTATTAAGTAATGCTCTTTTTTTATCATCTTAATGACGTTTTGGCAATTAAACTAATCTGTGTTAAATGTTGGTCCATCAGGGTCTAATACCACATTGTAAGGACTCATGGGTAATGGTCAGTGTAGCAAATATGGACGTTAATAACAATATTAATAGTCATAATAATGACTGTATACGCACACTGCCATTTTTATTCAGCTGTGTTTTTGTTAAGGTTATAAGATGTTAACAGGTAGGTTCATGTTTGACACCATAAGTTAAAGGGAAAATGTGGAGATAAAAATTTGCTGTTGCCCAAGACAACCTGTAGTAAAGTTAACTACGCTTAGAAAAACAAAGCATATATTCAAAAAAGAAAATAAAAAATCCAAGAAAAGGGAAATAAACAAAAGTTTTATTGGCCTCTACAACCATACCAAGCAAAATGTAGAGGTAAACACACAAACATCGATGAATAGTCAGATCTATTATACATCAAGTCTGTTTTATTGTCCCTTTGGAATAAATAAAATATATTGATTGATTTTTTTTTTCATTCATTCAACCTTTATTTGATAAGGGAGATAAGGGAGACTGTGTCCCTTATTTTATCAATATAAGAATATTGATTATCAATATTCTTATATTGATAAGATAAGGGACACAGTCTCTCTTATCTTTACTTTACTCATTGTAAAGAATAATGAATATAACACGTTGAATGTTTAATAAAGTTAAAAACTGAAATGTTATTAATAAATATCTTATAAATAAAGAGATTGTTTGAACATTATTCCAACGGGGAAAAAAGTAATTAATTAAAGTACAAAATAAAAAAACGAAAAGTAGGTAGTGTTTTGGATTATCTTGTGACCCTTGGCAAGTAAGGACCAATCCGAGTCTCAAAAGACCTCAGTATTTAACTAAAAATCGCAATTTTAAAATATTTTAAAAGTAGTAGCCATTTATTATGTGTTTAAACACAACATTTTAGCAGTAAAATCCGACTTTTAAAGCTTAAAAAAAAAAGTTTATTCACGGGTTTTGTTCCTCTTTCCGACAGTTGGGATGACGTAATATGTGTGCGACGGCAACCGGGACTTCGCCGAGCAGAGCCGCGCAATGACAACAAATTTAAAACAAGCTTTAAAATCCCACTTCGGGTTCGACAACTTTAGGTCAAAGATACAGGAAGATGTCGTCAAAGCTGTCACTAGAGGTAAGAGAACAAACTGTTTGTCTGCGCGCTGTTTTAAAAAGTTTGTTACCGAGTGAAAGCAGCTAAATGTATGGTGATCAATGTCTGACAGCCAGAACTGTTTTGATGAAGGTTAATGTCCAGCATGGCGCTCTTTGTGGTGTTGTAGGTGACAGGGACGTGTTTGTGTGTATGCCCACCGGAGCAGGGAAGTCTCTGTGCTATCAGCTCCCTGCAGTGCTGGCTGAGGGCATTACTCTGGTTATCTCCCCTCTGATCGCTCTCATTCAGGTCAGTGTCTCATCCTGCTGCAGCTCCACCACACAAACACAACTACACTTCATCAGAAACAAGCTGCAAACTGTTGCAATTGATTATTTATAATGTTCCCAGTGCTTTTAAAGATGATGCAAAGTTTATTTTCCCCTCTGAATCTGGGTATGTGACTTTATTGAACTCTGCAAAGTACACTCAAGATAAAGAAATGCATTAAAACAGGCTGGTATTAAAAATGGCGTATCACCAAACATGTGGGGTTTTTTTTTTTAAACAAAATTTTAAAGAGATGCAAAGGTGGAAGCTTGAAGAACCCCGCTCCTACCTTTGTAGGAGACCACACTTATGTCACGCAGGCGTGATTTAGAGGTAAAAGAAGGGGCGACCCCCTCTGCTGATCCCCAGCAGACCCGCTGAAACTGTTTGTGGAATGAGATGAGTCAGAGGTCTGTCGCAGATCAAATGTCTCCTGCGTGGAGCTGCTGTGTGTGCCAGCCAGTACCAGACAAATGTATGGCCTTGAGCCCCCCCCACACACAGCTGGCTTCCTGAACCCTGGGACACAGCACTACAGCCGAGTCCCAGCCGTAGACTAGAGATAATGTGCTGGCCCTGAAGAGACACAGAGACTGGAGAGGATGTAGTCTATAACAAGCCTTTGTGGGATTATTAAAGTTTATACTTTTATTAATCCTTCTTCCACATTTGACCACAAATTTACATCAAGTTTTTATTATTATTATTATATTAACCTAATCCCACTGAGATCACAGATCTCTTTTGCAAGGGAGGACTAACATGCATGTTTTTGATTTGTGGGAGTACCCGGAGAAAACCCACACAAGCACGCGAAGAACATGCAAACTCCACACAGAAAGACCCCAGGTCCAACTGGGGATTGAACCTAGGACCTTCTTGCTGTGAGGCAACGGTGCTAACCACTGAGTCGTCGTGCTACAGTTTTTATTTTTAGTCAAAGCTTGACTGCAAGACCCAAAACCTGAGAAAGTGGTTCCTGGGTGTTTTCTGTGTCGTAGTAAGTTCTTTTTTGTTTACATTTTACTCTGCTGGTTCTGTCTGCGAGGCACAAAAAACACACGAGTCAAGGTAAACTGCGGTTTTAGGTTTGCTCTCCTTCCTGTCATCGTGACTTTTGATCTTCTTTTGAACAGCTGGATGAACGACAGAGAAAAGTTTTCTGGTTGAGGTCGACGTGGCTACAGATTTGAGGGGTCTGAGCTCGCAGCTTTTTCAAAAACAACGTCTGCATTTATGTGATGATGGAGTTAAATAATCTTCTTGAACATGTTAATTATTGCCATGAAAAAGGGCTGGAAATTTTGATATTTCACTTTAAAAAATGTTCAAAAATTGCCTAAATTTGACTTTGTGGACAGTCAGAAGCCTGAAAATAAGTTCAGGCATTTTTTTAGATTCAATTTTAAACCTATAGATTTTCAAACAGGAAGTTCTGCATTTTAAACACAGTTTGTGTTGTTTAGTAGTTTGCTTTGTTGATGGTAAGTGGACTGTACTTATTACTTAATGAGGAACATTAAGTGCAGAACCACTAGTCTGAGGAATAACTTCTACCTTGAAGCTGTTAGACTCCATCCATCCATCCATCCATCCATTTTCTTTACCCGCTTATTCCATTTTGGGTCACGGGGGTCGCTGGTGCCCATGTCCAGCAATCACTGTGCGAGGGGCGGGGTACACCCTGGACGGGTCGCAAGTCCATCACAGGGCCACATAGAGACAAACGAGACAAACAACCATTCACTCTCTCACTCACACCTAGGGACAATTTAGAGTTACCAATCAGCCTAACATGCATGTTTTTGGACTGTGGGAGGAAACCGGAGCACCCGGAGAAAACCCACGCATGCACGGAGAGAACATGCAAACTCCACCCAGAAAGGCCCCTGGACCGGGGTTTGAACCAGGGACCTGCTCGCTGAGAGGCAGCAGCTCTACCAGTTGCGCCACCGTGCTGCCTTGCTGTTAGACTCATGAATCCTTAATCAGCATTATCACTGTGAAAATTAAAAAAAAAATCACTGTAATGCCACTTTGATTGGTGATATTTGCTGCTGATCTCATGCTGCTGATTATTTCATGCTGCTGTATTCATTCGTACTCATTTACTCACACAGACTCATGTTCATGCTGCTGTTGTTCGGCGTATTGTTTTGCACTATTAGTGTTCAGCGTATACTTAGTTTAGCGAATTTCTTAGATTTTTAGTACTGTTTCTTTTTACAATTTATATTTTTGCTATTGTTTTGTCGGCCCTATTCATAAATGTGTTGTGATTAGGGATGCACGATATTGGATTTTTGGCTGATATACCGATATGTTAAAACTTATTTGGCTGATAACCGATACTGATATTTATTATATACTTTCCTTTGTCAGAACATAGTCCTCTTATTTGCTTCAAAAATTGTGTGACAACTGTAAGAGCTGGTGACATATATTCATTAACAGCCATATGATATGCATAGCACTTTAACTTATATTAAATGAAAAGTGTTAAATGTTATTTATTAGCATTAGTCACCTGTGATGCTGTCTCACTTGTGGAGGCTTGTTCCAGGTTCCTAGCTGCAGCGTGGGATCCTCTGCACTCTTGTGCATGAAGGATAGACTTTTTAACTTCAAAGTTTTTGTCTATCCATTGTGCCGTAAGACTAGTCATGCTAACGGGGCTAACACTTGACATCTAAATGTCTGTGGTAAAACTCACCCAAGTGCTATCGGCTATTAGCTTCTCAGTGACGTCGGAAACTACGGCTTGTACCTCGGGTAAGGCTACGTCGAAAAAATATCTGTGACTGGGGACGATGTAGCGAGGCTCAATGAAGTCCAAAAATCTTCAGAATTCGACATCCTCAGTGAAAAAAAAAACCTTCCACACCGCCGACATTTTGAATTTTCCTCTCCTCTGTGATCAGATCAGGTAGACGTGCATGACATCATCACGTTGTGCTGGTGCTACAGACATCCTTGTCACTGGGTTGTCATTCAAAAACAGCATCTTTTATATCGGTGAGCTATTTTGATGGATTGTCTGATGTCCGATATTGAACTTTAACGCTATTATCGGCCGATGCCAATATTATGTGGATAATATTGTGCATCCTTACATAAATGTATTATGATGTCATCAGTATGTGCTATTTCATGTGCTGGGGTCTTTTTTTTTGCAACTCTCACAATGTGTCCTGTAAGACGCAAAGCGAGATTAGGTTTTTTCAACCTCCTCTCCCCTCGTGTTTCTTCTTTCTTATCTGTAAAAAAGGGCTGCGCCTCCCGAGACCAGCGGCCTCAGTCACCTCCATCTTCCCCATGTCTGTTGTTATGTTCTCTTAGATGGCTGTAACTAAAATGTAATTTTGTTGTGCTCCGGTGCAATGACAATAAAGATGATTCTGATTTTTGTTGGATGTAACTGGACACAATTTCATTCCAACTCATGTACCACATGTGATGCGAATGATAAAACCTACTTGAACTTATACTGTATGGCGCCTTTCTATCTTATCAAGACACTCACTACACTACAATCTGTGTCCTCATTTACCCATTCATACAGCACTCTACTACAAACCGGATTCCAAAAAAGTTGGGACACTAAAATTGTGAATAAAAACTGAATGCAATGATGTGGAGGGGCCAACATCTAATATTTTATTCAGAATAGAACGCAAATCACAGATCAAAAGTTTAAACTGAGAGAATGTATCATTTTAAGGGAAAAATCTGTTGTTTCCAAATTTCATGGCGTCAACAAATCCCAAAAAAGTTGGGACAAGTCCATTTTTACCACTGTGTGGCATCCCCCTTCTTCTTACAACACTCAACAGATGTCTAGGGACAGAGGAGACCAGTTCCTCAAATTTAGAAATAGGAATGCTCTCCCATTCATGTCTAATACAGGCCTCTAACTGTTCAATTGTCTTGGGCCTTCTTTGTCGCACCTTCCTCTTTATGATGCACCAAATGTTTTCTATAGGTGAAAGATCTGGACTGCAGGCTGGTCACTTCAGTACCTGGATCCTTCTCCTACGTAGCCATGATGTTGTGATTGCTGCAGAATGTGATCTGGCATTAACGTGTTGAAAAATGCAGGGTCTTCCCTGAAAGAGATGACGTCTAGATGGGAGCATATGTTTTTTCTAGAACCTGAACATAGTTCTCTGCATTACTGGTGCCTTTCCAGACATGCAAGCTGCCCATGCCACAAGCGCTCATGCAACCCCATACCATCAGTGATGCAGGCTTCTGAACGGAGCGTTGATAACAACTTGGGCTATCCTTGTCCTCTCTGGTCCAGATGACATGGCGTCCCAGTGTTCCATAAAGAACTTCAAATCGTGACTCATCTGACCACAGAACAGTCTTCCATTTTGCCACACTCCATTTTAAATGACCCCTGGCCCAGTGCAAACGTCTGAGCTTGTGGAGCTTGCTTAGAAATGGCTTCCTCTTTGCACTGTAGAGTTTCAGCTGGCAACGGCGGATGGCACGGTGGATTGTGTTCACTGACAATGCTTTCTGGAAGTATTCCTGAGCCCATTCTGTTATTTCCTTGACAGTGGCATTCCTGTTTGAGGTGCAGTGACGTTTAAGGGCCCGGAGATCACGAGCATCCAGTAGAGTTTTACGGCCTTGACCCTTACGCACAGTGATTGTTCCAGATTCTCTGAATCTTTTGATGATGTTATGCATGGTTGATGATGATAACTTAAAAGTCTTTGCTATTTTACTCTGGGTAACATCATTCTGGTATTGCTGCACTATCTTTCTGCACAACAATTGTGGAATTGGTGATCCTCTTACCATCTTGGCTTCTGAGAGACACTGACACTCTGAGAAGCTCTTTTTATACCCAATCATGTTGTCAATTGACCTAATTAGTGTTATTTGGTCTTCCAGCTGTTCGTTATATGCTCAATTTCCTTTTTCCAGCCACTTATTGCTACTTGTCCCAACTTTTTTGGGATTTGTTGACACTGTGAAATTTTGAATCAACATATTTTTCTTTTAAAATGTTACATTTACTCAAATTAAACTTTTGATCTGTCATCTATGTTATATTACTAATAAAATATTGACATTTGCCATCTCCACATCATTGCATTCAGTTTTTATTCACAATTTGTTTAGTGTCCCAACTTTTTTGGAATCCGGTTTGTAGATCTCAATAAAGCTAATTGAACAAATCATTCTAAAGAGACTAATCAGTGCTTTAAATCACATTCAAACACCGATGGGACACACATCAGAGGCGATGAGGGGTTCAGTGTCTTGCCCAGGGACACTTCAGCATGTAACTGCTGGTGGAATTGAACCCCTAACTCCCCCATTGGAGGACGACTGCTCTAACCACTCAGCCACGGTCGTCCTTTGTTGATTTGTTTTGTGCAGCGTTTTCTTGTTTTGCACTCTAAAATCTTGTAATATTACTTTCTATGCAGTTCTGAAAGTGTGGCTTTTGCTGAGAACGTCGTCCAGGTCTTGATAAGAATGGAAAAAGACTTTTGAAATTTCAAGGCTTCAGGTAGAACGTGTAGTTTAGAGCCAGCTGATAAAAAGAAAAGTCCAGCCACTTTACATACATATGTATATTTGTACTAAAATAGAAAAAATACATCAGCAGGCATATCTGGAGTCTGAAGAAGTGCCAAATGTGTATCATTTAGTCTTTCTGAGTTCCCTCCTTGTGTTTTTTATTTCTAGGACCAAGTGGATCGTCTGAAGGAGCTCAACATTCCCGCCTGCTCCATCAACTCCAAGCTCTCAGCCAGCGAGCGCCATCTGATCCTGGCCGACCTGAAAAGCCGCAGCCCGAAGCTGAAGCTCCTCTACATCACTCCGGAGATGTTGGCGTCGCCCTTGTTCCAGCCCTGCCTCACAGACCTGTGTTCCCGCGGTCTGCTGTCCTACATGGCCGTGGACGAGGCCCACTGCGTCTCCCAGTGGGGACACAATTTCAGACCGGACTACCTGAAACTGGGCGAGCTGCGGGCTCGCCTAACGGGAGTTCCCTGTCTGGCTTTGACGGCAACAGCGCCCAGAAACATACAAGAAGACATCGTTCAGTGCTTGAGGCTGAGCTCGCCACTGTCCTTCCTTACGCCCGTTTTCCGCAGCAACTTGCACTACGATGTGGTGTTTCGGAATCTGCTGCCGAACCCTTACGCCCACCTCCACGCCTTCATCCAAAAAGCACTATCCATGGGGATAGGACCCCATGGACAGGTTTGTAGACTTTATTTTTAAATGGAAGTTTAAATTAAGTGTTACCAAAGAAATAAGGATGGAAAACACATGTTTATTCAATATTTTGAGAATGCTTGTTTTATTTTAAATGTTTAATGTTTAAGACACACCAGCACACTGGTCAGTAGATCTCATACCAACCTAAAGCAAGTATCTTGGCCTAAAATGTTAGTTTTTTTTAAATCGTCAATAGGCTTTTAGTTCTTTTACACCAGTCTTCTTACTATGAAAACTGATTTCAATCTCAGCAAAGTCCATGCTCAATAATCCAGGTATACAATCCAACATTTTTCAGTCAGGTCATCAGGACAGTTTCTTTTTTTGTGCTGAAACGTTTCGCCTTCGATCCGGAAGGCTTCATCAGTCCAGGAAACACACAACAAAACTGATTCTTCCCCCAACAGCTTACTACAAATTGGAACAAACCAGTTTATGGTTGAATAGATCAGTCAGAAACAAGGTTTCGTCTTTGCTTTTAATTGCTGTAAATTGTTTAAAGTTTTATCTCAGAGCAACTTTTATCACAATTATAGAAGTGCCTTTATTTCTCCATGGGGTTCAGAGTGTGTTGATGCAATTTTTAAAATAAACGTCCACAAACAAATCTCCAAGTTTTGTCTCATTCTCTGAATTTCAAACTCTATTTTTGGTGGTTTAAGAACCCAGCTCAGAATGTTTAATATAAAGTGGTAGTTACTGGTGACGCAGGCTCCCTCTCTCCTTGTGTTTGCGAGCAGGGCTGTGGGATTGTTTACTGTCGGACCAGGGATGACTGTGAAACCGTCGCTCACCAGCTGACGAAGCTTGGAGTCCTGGCCAAGCCGTATCACGCAGGTACCGTCTTTCTGCCTGTGGGCTGTGAAAACATATTTTTGTCTCAGTTGTGAAGCGTTTCTTCACTGTGTCGCAGGTTTAAAGACAGGAGATCGCACAGAGGTGCAGAAGGAGTGGATGCAGGGGAGGGTGCTGGTCATTGTGGCGACCATCAGCTTTGGTATGGGGGTGGATAAGGCGAATGTCAGGTGAGGCAACAGTTCTCTGCTTTGCTGATTGGTTGTTTTGTGTTTTAATGCTCGCGCTGACGCTTCTTCAGGTTTGTCGTCCACTGGAACCTCGCCAAGTCTCTGGCCAGTTACTACCAAGAGTCGGGGCGAGCGGGCCGAGACGGTCTGCCCTCCTTGTGTCGCACGTACTACTCCCCGAAGGACAAGGAGCAGATTCACTACCTCATCTGCCAGGAGGTCGTCCGCAGACAGGTTGGACAGCACAGCACTCAAAGTGGACGCCATTTTGTTTTGACACTTTTTGACCTTTCTTATTGGTCTGCAGGAAAAAAGAGGTTCTGTAAAAGAGGTGGACAAAGTGGCCATCACAGACTTTGAAGCCATGGTGTCGTTTTGTACACAAGAGAGGTAAGAGAGGTAACGCATGCTGATAAACTCGATCTTTTATCTGCTGCTGAAAGGTGAACGCAGACTGTGTCTGATGGGACCACTGGATGGATTTGAATGAGATAATCACAGCATGTGCATCTTCAACTGATTAACCATTGGAGCCAATTCAAGATGGCCGCCACAGCTGTTTGACATTAGCAAACACAAAAATGGCTACAACTCAGTCAGCTTCACAGATATGTGTCGTATATGAGAGGCTTTCGCAACACTCCGAGCGAGAGCGCATGGTTTCATGAGACTGTGCAGAATTTTCAAGGTTTGACCAAAACAGCTGTAACGCTGTCATTTCCATCCATCCATCCATCCATCCATCCATCCATCCAACCATTATCTTTACCTACTTCTTCCCATCATAAGATGGTTTCAGTCTGAAACTCTGGCATGAAGGTTAGCGGGATGCTAGGAATACTCGGCATTTATTTATACAAATAAACTTTATTCAGAACAAGAGCAGTAATGGTTTTACATCATACAACATTTCAGCACACGTAACAGTCTTTTTAAGGTTTTTACATTTTTTTATGTATTTTCTGAAAACTAAATGACTTAAAGCAGGGGTGTCCAAATATTTTCATATGTGGGCCATAACTAACCAGATGAAAGAACTCGGCCACAAAAATGTGAATTTAACTCAACGTGAGCGATATTTTGGAGAAAGGACAAATTCACTCATTTTGGTGGAGAAAGAGTTTTAAATTGTTGTAGATCCAAAACATTAAAATCCTCATAAACACTAAGCTTATATATTTTTTTATTAAAAATGATTTTATTTATTTGATTTGTTGGGTTTGTGTTTGTTGTTTTCTTGTGCTTGTAAAGTTTGTTTTAGTCTGTTCTCAGCAACAAAACTGTAATTTCAGTAAGTGTCATTTTAAAAGGGGGTCGATCAGCATTTTGGACCATGGACGACCGAAAAGGCTGATTGAAGTTCTGAAAAATTGTCCAGCTGTCAGTCACCACAACAATTATTTTATCAACTATAACATTTAGCCAAGTTTTATGAATCATTATCCAAAAGTCTCCGTTCTGGTAGAAACAAGTAAAGGTTTGTGGTGCTTTGTACCATGAAGTGAAAATAAAAAGATTATAGCCAAAGGTTTGTATTTTGTATAATATTGCTTATTTTGAGAAGATTGTTTTTCATCTGTTTTGCTGTTAAAACTTAAAACATTATATAAAAAAGGATTACCAACGAATTTGCAGAAAATCTGCATCGACCTCTAAAACCCGCTGGCCAAAATGATATCATTCTTAAACTGCAGTTGTGGGCCTCACAAAATCACTACAAGGGCCGCAAATGGCCCACGGGCCACACTTAGGACACCGGTGACTTAAAGCCTTTAGTTTAGTCCTTTCTGTTTCTGTCCAGCAGAGGGCAGGCATGCTCTAAAACCTGGTCTCTTCCATACAAAAGTATTCTTTTCATTCTGTTTATTTTAACATACAAGATCATCTTACAAGCTCTATCATCAAACATGCTGTTTCTGCTTTAGAAACGTGTTTTTATTCCTACTGTCGCTCTGTGGAGTCCTGTTTTTACCGAGCTGTGAGCATGTTTGGTCCTGTGCATTTGTATCTGTCAGTAGAGGCTGGTTCTGCCTTCTCCTCGGGTCATGCTGGAGCTCCTCGGGCAGCAGGGATGCCCTGAGGAATGCTGATCCTCCGGATTACCTGGCAGCTGTAGCAGGTGTGTTTGGCAGCTTGTTGCTCAGCAGCCGGGCCTCTTCAGAACACACCCTGTACCATTTGTTTTGCTGCACCGGCAGGATTCCTGAGCTTTTATTTTATTTTATAGGAGATGTAGCTCAGGAGATCTGAAGAAAATCAAACATTTAAAGGTGTTCAACTTCAGTCTGCACAGGTGGAGCACGTTCAAATGTCAGGGTTGTGTAGTTTCCTCTTGCGGCAGCAGCAGCAGCAGTAGCTCACACAGGTCAGAACCATCATGGTCAGGACCATGACTGCAGGGGAGCAAACGAACAGCGTGATGAACAGCCCAGGTTCAAACCACGGGAGAAAAGTGTTGTGGCAATGAGCCGGGACTCACAGATGAAGATTAGGAGGACAAAGAAGGCTGCCTGCTCCACAGGGTGGGCGTTGGGCAGGTTCTGAAGCTTTAACCAGATCCGGTTCAGGTGGGTCAGCGTCTCCTCTCTGGCATCCATCCTGTTGAGATGAAATTAGTTCAAACATATTTATGTGCCCGTATGCTCACAGACGTCAGGACAAAACTTAGAAAACACTCACTGCAGGGAGAAGCACACGGCGGCCTGTTAGTGAACGTTGTGGTTTAAGAGTGAATCTGTTCACCGGTGAAACGATACAGAAGAGATCTAACAAGCAGGGCAGCCTGTCTTACTGTCGCATCTTTCACGTCATGTCTGAACAGACAGTTCTGTGTCTTTGGGTGGAGTTCTGACTAAAATAAGATTTATTGTTGACTGGTTTGTTGAGCTCTGGTTGAATAGTCGAAGCGGGTGTGACAGTGTGTGGCTTGTTAAGCTTCAGGAGTTGTGTTGGTGATTTAACAAGCACAAGCATAGAATCAACATGTTGTCTGATTGATTTAGCGACTGGTTAGCTTATCATAGACTAAAGGTTGAAAATGGTTTGAAGTCGCAGAGCACACAGAAAAACAGGTTTCAGTCTTGACCTCAAATTCAGCATCAAGTCCAGAGTTACAGTTCCAGTCAGATGATTTTACTGTAAATTATTCTGTTTCCAGCAGCTGATCAGTAGTTTGACACATGAACATGTTTGATTTTGTCAACATAAAGATAAAGTGATGGAGTGAGAGATAGAGTGCTCCTCACCTCCATTTCCTTCAACTCCTTCCTGCTCCTCACCTCCATTTCCTTCAGCTCCTTCCTGCTCCTCACCTCCATTTCCTTCAGCTCCTTCCTGCTCCTCACCTCCATTTCCTTCAGCTCCTTCCTGCTCCTCACCTCCATTTCCATCATCTCCTTCCTGCTCCTCACCTTTCTCTTCATCTCACTCAGTATAAAGAGATCTAAAGGTGTTGCTAAGGGTTAAATTCCCCCCACACCCACCCGTTGCTCCACTGCTGATTTAATCAAAAGTAAGACGGTAGTTTCTTCTTTCAGACGTATTTTATGTTGCACTGAAAAGAGGGACTGTATTTGTGACATTTTTTTCTCAGCATAGTGATTTTTAATCTTAATTATGTCCCAGAAATACTGAGTTAGGGAAAAAAACACAAAGCTGCTCTTAAAAAACACTGAACATTTATGAGGCTGAGTTCTTTTAAAGTTGTTACACAACAACTTTTTGAATCGTGTTAAAGAAAGTTTTTTTTTTTTTTTGTCTAACAAAGTGGAGTAACAAACCAAGAAGTGCCAAAACTTCACAAGAAACTACCAACAAGCCTGTTGTTAAATTGTAGTTTGTGTAACTTTTTATTCTGCTACCTGTTTTTTTTTTTTTTTAACATCTTGGTGTAACTTTCTCATGTTTGCGTGTTTGTTTTAAACAAATACGCTCTTCAGATTCTCCTGAAACTGTGTGAAACACTGAAAGTCACTCACCTGAGAAGGAGTTCTCCTGTTGAGCTCTTCAGTTTTCTGCCTTCCTCCTCCGGAGCAGTTTTCTTCTCGTCGGTCTTGTTTGGGAGGGACTGTGGCTTCAGCTTTTGTGCGCCTCTTGATTTTCTCCTCCTCCTTCGCTGGGGTTTCTCTGTTTCGCGCAGGAGAAGGTGGCAGAGTTTCCATTCCCAGCACCAAAGTTAGGTTGTTGTTTTGATGATTCCCAAAAAGACTCTACGGCTGCAAAGCCGTGGGAATGTACTGTAAGCTGATAACGTAACACTGGTTCTGCCACAACAAGGACTTTGTTCTGTAGATATAAAAATAGGAACGCATCAACTTTAAGGTAGTTATTTAATTAGCAAACTGTGGAAGAAGATGACTTTATGTTGGAGGTAAACTGGTTTTATTTCCACAACGGCTCAGAAGAAATGTGCTCTGAAAGCACAGGTCTTATTTCCTGTAATTGCTTCCTCCTGTTGTTGGACTGAAGCTCAGAATCTGAGTTTTTAAATTTCCACTTATTTCATAACAACATCTGGATCCTGAAATTGTTTGACGACTTCTCGGCCGGTGAAGAGCCGGATTGTCTCCCTACGGTACAGTGATTTAAATAAAGTTAAAGCTAAGTTTCTTAAAGGAATGTGTTTTTGTTTTTATCCTCATCAGCTGTCGCCACGCCACCATCTCCAAGTTTTTCGGAGACAAGACGCCGAACTGCGCCGGCGCCTGCGACTTCTGCCGGAACCCTCGAGGTGTCCGAGCCCAGCTGGAAAAAGCGGCCACGCTCAGCCTCAGGACCAAAGCAGCTGACAGCACCGAGGCCACAGGCCCGTTTGGGTTCCAGCCGGGCTTATACGAAGGAGGGAAGAGAGGCTACGGCTTCGAAAGGCAGGACGAGCTCCTGTTACACCGTCTGAAATGTGGATGTGATGCATCCCGTGCAGTGTAGATTCATAGCAACGTGATGATCCTGTCGTTTCTCCCAGCAGGTGTGATGAAAGCGAGGGAGGAAGTGGTGACGATGAAACCAGAAAGAGGAAAAGGGAGTTTTCGGACCTCTTCAAGAAGCAGATGAACCTCAGGAAGGTGGTTCGGGATTATCAGCACACAAGCCGTCACTGAAATGTTGCGTTGTAGACACGACCTGGCAACGCTGTGTCAAATAACATGATTAAACAGCTGCGAATCTCATAAATCCATATTTTTTTGGAACATGGTGAACATATCAAATGTTTAAACTACAACAAAACTTCAATAAAGAAGGTCATTTTGAGTAGGATGGCAGCAACTGGTTCACGTTTCTCTCTGTGAAGCGTCTCTGCTTCTTTTAACCAGTTAAACATCTGGAACTGAGCAGAGCAGCTGCTGGAGGCTTTTGGAAAATATTTCATTCTTGACTAATGCAGGATTATAGACATTCAGCGATCCTGGGTCTTCATTGATGGATTTTTGTTCCAGTATTTGTCAAATGTTTTCAGCTGGTGCGAGATCTGGACTGCAGGCAGGTTAGTTTAGCAGCTGGACTCTTACTACGAAGACACGCTGATCGATGCTGTGGTGGCTTGCTGTGATATACAAGAACTTCTCTGAAATAAACATCTGGATGAGATTAGATCCTCTAAAACTCATCTGCATTAATGGTGCCTTTCCAACTGTGTAAGCTAATGGAGCGGGAGGCACTAATGCACCCCCATACCATCAGAGAGGCAGGATTTTGAACAGTGTGCCGATAGCAGGCCAGATGATACTTCTCTTCAGTACGAACAAAATTTTTCTAGTTTCAGTTTGACCACAGAACAGTTTTCCACTTTGCCTGACTCCATTTTGAATGAACTTTGGTCCAGAGAAGTGAGCCGAGTTCCTAGATGGTGTTATACACATACACAAATACACAGTTCATCCAGTATGGACCAGTAAGGATCGTTCTCTGAGCTCAGATGATATTATAAGCTGTGAATGTTGGGATATTCAAAGTATTCCTTGTTGATTAACAGTATCCTTAATAGTGCCACTATGTGTTGCTGCCATCAGATTACCTTATTTTTTATCCTAAAAAAGGTAGAATTTCTTACTTTAAACATTTGTTACGTTTACTTCGTTCCATTGTGAATAAAGCACAGTTTTATGCAGTTTGTGAATCATCACATTCTGTTTTGTTGAACATTTTTACACATCTAAACTTTTATTTAAATCACGCCTATAAAAAAAAAAACTTAAATAATTATTGCCCACCACCAGAAAAGACTTTGTTTGTGTGTTTGTGCTGGTCTGCGTTGGCTTGTCTGTTAGCAAAATACAGTAGTTCCTCGTTTATCGTAGGGAATCTGTACCCTGAAGCCATGTGATAAGTGAACAACCACGAAGTAGGAATAGTAGTACAAGTATTAAGTAGTGGTTTATTTTAGTATTTATATATATACATGTATATATTTTTTATATAAAGGCGTTTTAAACTCTTCCCACACTCTTGCAATATTCTAAACAATGTTTCTAAACTAAACGGTTTAAAGGAGCACAGAATGTCATGATTTCAGCTCTGCCTGGCTGCACTCTCGGCCACGCCCACTTCTCCGCTCTACATGGAGATCAGCTGATCAGCTGCAGGAGGAAACTTCTACAGCTGTGGGCTGCACACAGGTGCTAAATAATTTAAAACAATTTATTTTAAATAAAAATACCATGCCGATCGTGTGGCTCATCCATCAATCATCCAATTGTGTGTCATGTCCAATCTTACTTTGAAAAACCGCGATAGAGCGAGTCCGCGAAAAACGAGCCGCGATGTAGTGAGGGACTACTGTGTTTCACAACCCCCTGGATGGATTGAAAGCAATCGTCGGATGGATTACAGAGTCACCCTGTGTGGTAGTAGCTGAGAGTCATCCTCTGAGCACAAACACAAGGTCCTTCCTCTCTGAAGAGAATGAATAGCAGTAAACTTAATCTAAATATGAGTCATTACAACTTCACGTTTGTTTTGCGCGTCTGCACATCTGTATTCCAGCTGTTGGCAGCAGGAGCTCGACGCAGCCCCTGTAGTTGTGCTTTTCTTGGCTAATCACTCCCACATGTCTGGAAGTGGCACATCTGAGTGAAACTGTTCCTCAGCGGCTCCAAGAGGAGTCTGGCCAAAGCATTTACAGCAGAACATGTGAACCATTAACCACATCATGACAGAGCGGAAAACAACAAGTCAATGGTGATGGTGGAACTCATGAAGAACCCTGAAAACTTGGGTTTTGAGCATTTTAGCGGAGAGCTTGAGCGCGTACAAAGAAATACAGATCGCCTAATCAGTGGCTTGTGCTGTTTCCTCAGGGCTCCAGCAGTCAGACGGAGGAGTTTTCTCCACCAGGTAATGTCAGCCGAGCATTAAGATGAATATGAACAGCTCTTCAGGCTGTTTTGTGTCGTGTAACGTGTGTCTCGCCGTGCAGGCGCCAACTGCTTGCTCAGAGAGGCCAGCAGCCAGAGGATCCCCAGGCTCACCGTGAAGGTAACACATTCCTCACAGCCGCCACGTTCATTAACGAGCTGCCGGGAACTCTGGGACACGAAACGTGAACGCTGCTGACGGTGACTTACTGTGGTGCTTGAACGTTTGTGAAGCCTTTATCATTTTCTATATTTCTGCATAAATCTGACCTCAAAACATCATCAGATGTTCACACAAGTCCTAAAAGTAGATAAAGAGAACCCAGTTAAACAAATTAGACAAATATTATACTTGGTCATTTATTTATTGAGGAAAATGATCCAATGTTACACATTTGTGAGTGGCTAAAGTATGTGAACCTTTGCTTTCTGGTGTGACACCCCCCACCCCCCACCCCAGGTGCAGCAATAATTGCAACTAAATGTTTCCTGTAACTGTTGATCAGTCCTGAACACCTTGGAGGAGTTTTATCCCATTCCTCAGTACAGAACAGCTTCATCTCTGGATGTTGGTGGTTTCCTCACATTAACTGCTGCTTCAGGTCCTTCCACAACATCTTGATTGTATTAAGGTCAGGAATTTAACTTAGTCATTCCAAAACATGAACTTTATTCTTCTTGAACCATTCTTTGGTATAACCACTTGTGTGCTTAGGATCATTGTGTTGCTGCATGACCCACCTTCTCTTGAGATTCAGTTCATGGACAGATGTTCTGACATTTTCCTTTAGAATTCTCTGATATAATTCAGAATTCATTGTTCCATCAATGATGGCAAGCCGTCCTACAAAACAGGCCCAAACATGATACTACCACCATCATGTTTCACACATGGTATAAGGTTCTCCTGTGGTGTTTTCCTTTCTCCAAACTGAACACTTTTCATTTAAACCAAAAAGTTCTAGTTTGGTCTCATCCATCCACAAAACGTTCTTCCAACAGTCTTCTGGATTGTCCACGTGATCTTTATCAAACTTCAGACGAGCAGCAATGTTCTCTTTGGAGAACAGTGTCTATCTCCTTCAACTCTACCATCACACCATTGTTGTTCAGTGTTCTCCTGATGGTGGACTCATGAACATTAACATCAGTCAACGTGAGAGAGACCTTCTGTTGTTAGAAGTTACCCTGGGCTCCTTTGTGACCTCGCAGACTATTCCACTCCTTGCTCTTGGAGTGATCTTTGTTGGTCCACCACTCCTGAGGAGGGTAACAATGGTTTTGACTCTCCTCCATTTGTACACAATCTGTCTGACTGGATTGGTGAAGTCCAAACTCTTTACAGATGTTTTGTAACCCTTTCCAGTCTTGTTGAGCATCACCAAATCTTTTTTTTTTGAGGTCCTCAGAAATCTCCTTTGTTCTTCCATGATCCACTTCCACAAACATGTTGTGAAGAGCAGACTTTGATAAATCCCTGTTCTTTAATTGAAACGGGGTTCCCACTCACACCTGATCATCATCACATTGATTGAAAACGGCTGACTCTAATTTCACCTTCACATTAACTGCTAATCCCAGAGGTTCACATACTTTTACCACTCACAAATGTGTAATATTGGATCAATTTCCTCAATAAATAAACGACCAAGTATAATATTTTTGCTCCATTTGTTTAACTGGGTTCTCTATCTACTTTTAGGACTTGTGTGAACATCTGAAGTTGTGTTAGGTCAGATTTATGCAGAAATATAGAAAAGTCTTGTGTTTACAAACTTTCAAGCACCACTGTACTTCAGATTTGTTTTAAAGGGGAGAAGATATTTTGTGCAGTAATAGTACAACATTAGATCCAACAGATCTCCTACATTAAGTGCAGTTTTCACTCCCCAGCTCTAAGGTCAAAGGTCCACATTGTAATTTCAGATCTAGACGAGGAGCTACCCTCCTCATCACCACCGTCAGACTGTATGTCTTTAGGTGAATGAAAGTCATGAAGTCCACCTCAGAGGACAGATTGCACGTCTTCAACAAAACACAGCCGTGGAACATTTTTCTCACCTTATGTATGTGTATTGTTAAATAAAAAAAGATCATTAATGTGCTTTAGGAATTTACCAGCAGATATTGTGGGGAATGGATGCCATTATGATGTATAAGATGGTGAGGATTTGCAGGAATAATGAGTAAAACTAAAGAATAGTCATTCATTATGTGGCTTTGGCCATATGAAAATTCAGAAATGGTCACACACATTTCTCCACATTGGAGATGGCTGTCTTGTGTTGGTAATGCAATAAATCTTGCATCTGCCGTGTGGCCACAAAATTAAGGTATAACATTAAAAGCAAAACCAGTAATTCTCAGTCGGGTCATCTGGAAAGTTTCTTTTTAAAAAAGAAACTGTCCAGATGACCCGACTGAGAATTATTGGATTTGGTACCTGGATGACTGAGCATGAACTTTGTTGCATTAAAAACAAAAGTCTGCAAATGTTTGCATCATTCTGGAGTCATGTTTTATGAAAAATGTTGCTCTAAAGTTACAGTGCTTGGAGATAATCAGGCCATTGCTATAGGTTTCTGTGTAATACCATGTTTTCTGGCGTATAAGTTACCATTTTTTCATAGATTTGTCAGTCCTGCGGCTTACATGCCGACACGACTTATATACTTTTTTCCACTTTCATAACACAATTTTTGACTGATGCTTTAAATTTCTAACAACTGCAACAGCGAGTCCTCCCGTGCGCGCTCTCTTCACTCAGCTGGTGCAGGCAGATGAATGCTGAAGAGCTAGCGGCTCCGGCCACAATGGATGGCTGGATGAATGGATGGGTGGATGGGTAGATGGATGGCACCGTGCCACCCAGGCAAAATGAAGCTGGTTTGACCATTAAATAAATGCATAATAAACGCGACACGTCAGTGGTGACACATAATAAAAGCGACTTATACACCAAAGCGACTTGTATATGTTTTTTTTTCCTCTTCATGATGCTTTTTTTTTTTTTACTGTTTCAACTTATATTCCGGTGTGACTTATACGCCATAAAATACGTTAGTTTGTTAATGGGCGTATATTGTGCTCTTGTTTTTGTTTTATTTAGTTGTTGGACCATTAATGATCCTCTTCTTCCATTTCAGGCCCGAGAGCACTGTTTGTACCTCCTGCAGGATGCTCTGCAAGCCCACCAGGAGGCAGCAGATACATATAAGTAAGACTACTGATGAACTCTTCAGCCACTAAGTTGAATAAAATATACAAATTCATCACCAGATTTCCTACTAATGGTTTCCTCTTCCTCCGTCTTGCAGCTGTGACAGTCTGACGTTAGCAGTGGACTTTGAACATGACGTCTTCAAAAGCAGCAAGTCCTCCAACTTATACAAAGCTGCTATCCTAAAGAAGGTGGCTGAAAATGTTTGTGTTGTAAATAAAACTAGAAGTGTTTATGGCTAACTTGACTGGTGCTGTGAAGGCGTGTGAGATAAAAGCTGCACCTGAGTCAGTGAGGGGAGACCAGCGACGAGGCAGCTGTGATTCAAGAGAAGCTGAGACAGAACTCCCAGAAGATGGACCTTCTTCTTTATATCCTGAGGAGCTGCGGGGGTTCACCTCTGCTTCTGAGATGTACTCCGTAAGAGCACTGCTACTTCTCTTAAAGTCAGTGGAAAATGGCAGTCCACGTTTTAATTTTCTCCATCCTTGCTACAGATGAAGCGGAAAAGAGTGGGAGCAGGGCAGAGGGGCTCCTCCGACCATTTCCTCAGTGCCAAAGATCTCCTGAAGCCCACCATGTCGGAGCCAGGTTCCAAGAAACAGACCAAAAATGAGAGATATTTCGTTGACCGCACAGAGGAATCACATGCCGAAGGGATCTGGGAGAGAATAAAAGAGGCAACGACGGAAACAACACCTGCTGTGTCATCATCGATCAGAGCCAGAGCCTCAGCTGTCGGCATTTCTCAGAACAGCCCAACGAAAGGAGGAAGAGCCGTGAACAAGAAGCAGCAGAAGCTGGCAGAAGCTGCAAAGACTTCTCGCAACATTTCCCACTACTTTACAAACAAACAAAGAGTGGAGGAGAGCTGCGAAGAGGAGGAGGAGGAGGAAGCAGATGGTGCATCAGCTCAGACTGTCGACGCGGTTCACGAAGAAAGTGTCAACCAGGAGCAACACGAGAGCAGCCCTGTCAAATGTGAGACTCCGGATCTGATCCTGGTCGAGCCGGAGACTGAAGTTATAGTTTTGTCTGATGATGATGATGAGGAGGAAGAGCAAGAAGGGGACAGTTTGAACCCGGTGCAAGACACGTCTCAGCAGGATATACAATCCATCACAGAGTAATTTTCTCCCGTTCACATTTATAACAACAAAACTGACGTGTTGGAAATGATTTTTAATTCTTCCTCCGTTCTCACACAGACACCAGCCAGTAGAAGAAGATGAAGAAGCAGCAGCAGCTAACCCTCCTTTAATTCAAGAGGTACAAACATCTCCACACCCATTAAATCTATTACATTTTTAAGTTTAAAATACATTTGAAGTGGAGTTTTATGGAAATGTTATGAACAACTAGAGGAATTGCATTTCCTGCAAAAATGCAGTGTGAATGCTTATTGCTGAAAAACAGCTGAAATGAGCTAAAACATGCTGAAATGTAGCTAAAATGGATGAACAAGTCTAATTTAGCAGAATACAGCAGAAAGAACACATATTTGCTGAATTAGGTTTAAATATGCAGAAATGAGCACTAAAATTAGGAAATTAGCTTAAAAAGCTGAAAATAGCTGAAAAGGCAGAAAGAAGCTTAAAATACCAGAAGGAAGTGGAAGGAGCTGAAATGAGCTATATATTAAAAAAAAAGTTGAATTAGCTAAAAAAAAAAAAGCTAAATTTTACACCAAACAACTAAAAAGTAGCTGAAATAGCAGAAAAAGCTGAAAGTAGCAGAAAAAAAGCTGAAAGAGGAATAACACACTGAAATTTGCAGAAAAAAGTTAATTAGGCTGAAAGAAGCAGAAATGAGCACAAAAAGTGGAAATTGTCTGAAAAGAGCTGAAATTAGCTAAACAATGCTAAAAAGGTAGAACAAGCTCAAATTAGTAGGAGGAAAAAAAAACATTTTTGACCAATTAGGCTGAAAGAATCAGAAATGAGCACAAAAAAGTGGAAATTATCTGAAAAAAAGCCAAAATGAGCAAAAAATAGATGAAGACTAATTAAAAAAATTAGAAAAAAGCTGAAATTACCAGAAGGAAGAGTAGAGAGCACAGCTGAATTAGGCTGAAAATGTTGAAATGAGTGTAAAAATGTGTAATTAGCTGGAAAAGCTTAAATTAGCGTAAAAACATCTATATAGTAGCTGAAATAGTAGAAAAAGTGGAAACTTCCGGAAATAAGCTGAAAGGAGCATATTAAGCTGAAATTAGCAGAAATAAGTTAGAAGAAGCACAAAAATGTAGTTAGCAGAAAGAATCTGGAGCTCAAAACAGCTTAAAAAAAACCAGCTGAAATTAGCTGAAAGTAGCTGAAAAAAGCTTAAATTTGCACAAGGAAGCCGAAATAAGCTGACGCAGAACAAAAAGTGAAAGTAGCAGTAAAAGGTTGTAAACAGATCTAAAGATGTGAAGGATGTAAAATGTGCTCAGTTAATTTTCTGAGACAAAAAAGAAATGGCTGAAAAGGCTAAATATTTCAAAAGCTTAAGTTGTACCAATACCAAAAGTCATTTTATATTAGATTGTGCTGAAAGAGCTGAACATTTTGATATGATTTGTTGAAATAGCACAAAAACCGCAGGGAAAGAATCGCACCGACAAATGGATCAGAAAAGTGTGAATGCTTCATAAACATTCAGACAATTAGTATCCTATCTGTTGTAGATGTTCTCTCTGAGTGACCTCGGCTTGGAGAAAGAGTCTAATTCTGACTGGACTGATGAGCTAAAGGCTAGTCAGGAGCAGGACCAAATCTAAAGTGGATTGTTGTTGTCTCATCTCCGAGCTCTAAAATGTATTTACGGCTCACGTGAATGCTGATTTATGAATCTGTACTCGTCTGTCAGTTTTGCATTTCATGGTTATTCCAGCAGAAACCTCTTGATAAAGCCCCCAGGTCGAACTTATTATGCTACAGCTAGCTGTTGTTGCTTGTGCTTACAAATATTATTTAATATTCGCTGTAACTGCTATAAATCTTTGAGACCGGAGTTGTTTTAAGAAGGCAGGGATGCACTCTGGTCTTGGCCCCGCTCGAACTAGCCATTAGCTCATCAGTTTGCTCAAAATGAAAGTTTTTCCAAACTGAGGTTGTTCCAAGAGTTATCCAAAACAGGTAAGATGTTAATTGCTCACAACCTTTACACAAAACACCACGTTTAAAGATCTGAACTATCCCTTCAGTGGCACATGCTGATCCTACTGTACATGCTTCCAGATCACAGATGACGTAGCAGAGGACACGGAGTCATCTCCTCCTTCGAAGCGCAGCCGGCCTGCAGAAAATAGCAGAAGACGGGTTACGTTCAACCCCACCGTGCAGGAGAGGGTTCTGGAGCCGGTCCCCAAGCCTCCACAGCCCGTTACGCTGAAGGAGGCCGCTGATATTGTGGTCCATTATCTGGACCCCTTTTACACTCGGGGAAAGTTTGCCACTAAGGTACGGGGTGTTTGTTTACAATCAACTTCATGTGAAATCACGTGTTTAAAACGTTCCTTTTGCTGTTTAATAAATCTCTCAGGAGCTGTTCAAGTCGTTTGCTCGCTACTTGTCCCACCTTCTGGCTGAAGGCAGGAATCGGACAAAAGACCAAGGTATCTAGATGATGATGATGATGATGATGATGATGAAGCAGTTTGTTTCACGCTGCAGTCTTCTCGAACTCCGATCTCTCCCTCTGCAGTTAAAGGTGAAGTCAAAGTTCTGATCAGGAAGTTTTTCAGCCGAGTTCAGCGCTGCGAGAGCGAGGCAGACTGGGAGCACCTGAAACCTCCGGCCGTCTGTAAAACCACCCAGAGCAAGGAGTGATGGGAAATGGAGTCATTTACTGTGTTTAATTACTTTTATCAGTGCCTATCAGATCTTCACGGGTTTCAGGCATTGTGCCAGACACCTGCTGAGCAGGTTTACACTTAAACAGATGGTTTTGTTCTCAGGCACCTTGTTGCTGTAGTTTCTGATGTCAGAAATTATAAACTGGGAGACTGTTACGCCCTGTGATGGACTTGAGACCTGTCCAGGGTGTCCCCCGCCTCTTGCACAGTGACTGTTGGATATGAGCACCAGTGATCCCGCGATCCAGAAAGGAAGAAGCGCGAAATGATAATGAATTGATGGAGACTGTTACAGCCTGAATGGGAAGAAGCAAAACTGTTTACAAACTAATGTGATGCATTTTTTAAAATCTTGAGGTTTTTTTTCACTGTAAACAGTGTAGAAGTATTTTTTTACTTGCAATAAGGTATATTTCAGATCTCTGCAATATCATTATTTTTTGTGGAGCGTTTAAATGTCCCTCGTTCAGTTCAGTTCTTTGTTTCCTGCTGTAAAAGGATGAAGTCTGCTGTGAAAGAAAGGTGCAGATGTGATTTGTAACATGCTGGATCTCTGCATGGATGTGTTTAGAAAAAGAGCATGATGTTGTGAGATTAAAGAATGTGAGGTAGACTGAGGACTATATGTGAACAATAAAAAAAATGTTCCCAATAAAAACACTGAAAATGGTGGATAGAGATATGCTCAGGTCATTCTGCAGCACTTCATCTATATTTGTAAAATCCTGAAGACTTTATTTTTTATTTGCAAAAACCTCTTTTGTTCTGAACTTGTAAAGTTTAGCCCTTTGGAGCCATTTTGACTAGTTTTTCTCTTAAGATCCATTCGAGTGCATGTATATATATATATATATCTATATATATTTATATATATCTATATATATATATATCTATATATATATATATATATATATATATATATATATATACAAACCGGATTCCAAAAAAGTTGGGACACTAAACAAATTGTGAATAAAAACTGAATGCAATGATGTGGAGATGGCAAATGTCAATATTTTATTAGTAATATAACATAGATGACAGATCAAAAGTTTAATCTGAGTAAATAATAATAATGTCATCAATGTCAGCACTGTATGTTTCCATACAATGGCGAAATTAGTCTCTGCATTTAACCCATCCACCACCAGGTGGTGCAGTGGGCAGCTATTGAAAGCGCCGGGGGACATTTTGGGGATGAGACGTGCTGCCCAGAGACGCCACGTGATGTGCAGTGACTGGGGATCGAACCTGGGACTTTCGGGTCCCAAGCCGGCTGCCCTGCCTCTACACCATCTCGGCCCCCATAATAATGTAACATTTTAAAAGAAAAATATGTTGATTCAAAATTTCACAGTGTCAACAAATCCCAAAAAAGTTGGGACAAGTAGCAATAAGTGGCTGGAAAATGGAAATTGAGCATATAACGAACAGCTGGAAGACCAATTAACATTAATTAGGTCAATTGACAACATGATTGGGTATAAAAAGAGCTTCTCAGAGTGTCGGTGTCTCTCAGAAGCCAAGATGGAAAGAGGATCACCAATTCCACCATTGTTGCGCAGAAAGATAGTGCAGCAATACCAGAATGGTGTTACCCAGCGTAAAATAGCAAAGACTTTTAAGTTATCATCAAAAGATTCAGAGATTCTGGAACAATCACTGTGCGTAAGGGTCAAGGCCGTAAAACTCTACTGGATGCTCGTGATCTCCGGGCTCTTAAACGTCACTGCACCTCAAACAGGAATGCCACTGTCAAGAAATAACAGAATGGGCTCAGGAATACTTCCAGAAAGCATTGTCAGTGAACACAATCCACCGTGCCATCCGCCGTTGCCAGCTGAAACTCTACAGTGCAAAGAGGAAGCCATTTCTAAGCAAGCTCCACAAGCTCAGACATTTGCACTGGGCCAGGGGTCATTTAAAATGGAGTGTGGCAAAATGGAAGACTGTTCTGTAGTCAGATAAGTCACGATTTGAATTTCTTTATGGAACACTGGGACGCCATGTTATCCAGACCAGAGAGGACAAGGATAACCCAAGTTGTTATCAACGCTCCGTTCAGAAGCCTGCATCACTGATGGTATGGGGTTGCATGAGCGCTTGTGGCATGGGCAGCTTGCATGTCTGGAAAGGCACCATTAATGCAGAGGACTATGTTCAGGTTCTAGAACAACATATGCTCCCATCTAGACGTCATCTGTTTCAGGGAAGACCCTGCATTTTTCAACACGATAATGCCAGAACACATTCTGCAGCAATCACAACATCATGGCTACGTAGAAGGATCCGGGTACTGAAATGGCCAGCCTGCAGTCCAGATCTTTCACCTATAGAGAACATTTGGCGCATCATAAAGAGGAAGGTGCGACAAAGAAGGCCCAAGATGATTGAACAGTTAGAGGCCTGTATTAGACATGAATGGGAGAGCATTCCTATTTCTAAACTTGAGAAACTGGTCTCCTCTGTCCCCAGACGTCTGTTGAGTGTTGTAAAAAGAAGGGGGGATGCCACACAGTGGTAAAAATGGACTTGTCCCAACTTTTTTGGAATCCGGTTTGTTTGTTTGTATGTATGTATGTATGTATGTATGTATGTATGTATGTATGTATGTATGTATGTGTGTGTGTGTGTGTGCGGGCGGGCGGGCATGCGTGCGTGCGTGTATCTATCGATCGATCGATCGATCGATATCTTTAGATAGATAGATATCTATAGATAGATAGATAACTTCATATACAGACCCTTTCCAAAAAAAATTGAAAATCGTGGAAATGTTGTTTTCACTTCCATAATTCCATTCAAAAAGTTAATCTTTAATAGATGATAGATTCAGGGCCTGCAATTTAAATTATTTCAAGTATTTGTTTATTTTTACATAATTTGGGCTTCCAGCTCATGAAACCCACAAAAACAGGAATTCAAAAAATTAGAATATTTTGAAGACATCAGCCCACACTTCTCAGTTTTTACAAACAAAAAAAGAAAGAAATTAGGATCACAACAAATCAATCAAAATATGATACTTTCAAAACGATATGTCAATCTTCAATACTTGGTTGTGAATCCCTTTGCCTTAATCACTGCCTCGATGTGACGTGGGATTGAGACAATCAGCCTGTGGCATTGACTGGGAGTTATGGAAGCCCAGATTTCCTTGATGCTTGCTGTCAGCTCTTCTTTGTTGTTGGGTCTGGTGCTCCTCATTTTCCTCTTGAGAATACTTCATAGATTCTCAATGGGGTTTAGGTCCGGTGAGTTGGTTGGCCAGTCAAGCACTGCGGCATGGGCTTCAAACCAGGTTTTGGTACTTCTGGCAGCATGGGCAGGGGCCAGGTCCTCTGGAAGATGAAATCTGCATCTCCATACAGATCCTCAGCAGAAGGAATCATGAAGTCCTCTAAAACATTCTGGTAGACTCCACCATTTTTCCAGTTTGACATGACTGTCAACAAGGAAGAAGGCCGGCAATGGAGGAGGAAGCATGCCAAAGAGACCATCTTAGCACCAACATAACTAGTTTGTTCTACTTTGGAGTAAGCTGTTGGGGGAAGAATCCGTTTTGTGTTGTGTGTTCCCTTGACTGATGAAGCCTTCCGGATCGAAGGCAAAACGTTTCAGCACAAAAAAAGAAACCGTCCAGATGACCGGACTGAAAAATGGTGGATTGTATACCTGGATTATTGAGCATGGACTTTGTTATTCTGGTAGACTGTTGCGGTGACCTTGTATTTAAGAAAGCAGAGTTTACCAACACCTGCACCGGACATTACACCCCAAATCATGACGGACTGTGGATATTTCACACTGGACCTCGAGCAGTATGGGTTCTGTTCCTCACCCTTCTTCCTCCAAACCCTTGGACCTTGATTTCTGAATGAAAGGCACACTTTACTTTCATCGGAAAAGAGGACCTTGGACCACTGGCGGTCCAGCCCTTCTTCTCCTTGGCCCAGTTGAGATGCTTCCTACATTGGCTCGGGTTCAGAAGTGGCTTGACCCGAGGAACCTGACAGTTGTAGCCCATCTCCCAGATGTGTCTGAATGTGATGGTTTTTGAAGCTGTGACTCCGCCTCATTCCACTCTTTCTGGATCTCTGCCAGATTCTGGAGTCTTCTCTGTTTGATAACTCGCTGAAGCCCATTGTCATCTCTTTTCCTGGTGCATCTTCTCCTGTCACTTTTTGCCCTTTCACTAGACTTTCCATTGATGCGCTTGGACGCAGCACTCTGTGAACAGCCAGCCTCCTTAGCTATGAACTTTTGTGGCTTACCCATCCTATGGAGGGTATCAATGATGGTCTTCTAGCCAGTTATGTCTGCAGTCGTCCCCATATTGAAATGAATTGAGACAACTGAACCAAACTGAAGCGATTTAATAACACCTGGGGAAACCTGTTCAGGTGCTTTGAGTTTAGTAGATGATTAGTGTCACACTCAGTTTAAAACATTCATTCCCTGCAACATTTGAGCTGATTTCTCCACAGTAATTAATTTTTTGAAATCCTATTTTTGTGGGTTTCATGAGCTGGAAGCCCAAATTATGTAAAAATAAACAAATAAATACTTGAAATCATTTAAATTGTGGGCCCTGAATCTATCATCTATTAAGAATTAACTTTTTGAATGGAATTATGTAAGTTAACTTTTCTATGGTATTCTAATTTTTTAGAAAATACACAAAGATAAAAGTTTTATTTTAATGCTATAACTGAAAGATCTTCCTCCCATTCTGCTTTGGAAACTCTAGGAACCACATGTAAGCCTGCAGCCTGAGAGCGAAGTGCTCTTTTAGGAAAATATGGAACAATAAGATCTGAAATTCTTTCATGACTTCATCAGTTGAGCCCTTTCCTTTCAGTGGGGAGGAACACCAGCCCTACCCTAATGAACTTTCCGATGACTGAGCTGCTCACCCTATTCCTCTGGCTGAGCCCAGATACTCCCCAAATAAAACGATGGTTACGTACTGTAACCCCACATTCTTTGACATCATCCAGTCAGACTTGCTCCATCTCAAACTTGTCCTAAACGCTGATAAAACTAAAAGAATGTTTTTTCAAATGGGAAGTCGGTCCCAGCAGTTCTTCCTCTGATTTTATCCTCAAATGGTGTCCTTATTGAGTTTGTTTAATTCCTATAAATATTTGGGTAGCTTGGTCGACTCACACTTCTCTTTTAAGCTCCATGTGGAAAACCTAGTAAGGAAACTGAAAGTTAAACTGGTTTTGTTTTCCAGAACCAGATCCTGTCTAACTCTGAATGTTAGGAAACACCTTGTAACTGTGACTTTCCTTCCCTCCATTGATTACGGTGACATTATTTACATGAACGCTCCTACAAGAACCCTGCAGATGTTGGACTCTGTCTATCATGGTGCACTAAAATTCACAACTGGCTGTAACTACCATACCCACCACTGCACCCAGTATTCACTGGTTAACTGGTCATTAACTTCACACACTATCTCACTGGTATATTTTCATCTTTAAATCACTTCTTGGTCTGTTACCTTCATACATCTCCTCCTACATGTCTCTGTGTGAGTGCAGCTACAGCGTGCGCTCTCAGGACATTATTACCTGCAGTGTTCCCTCAGTGAGGACTGAACTAGACAAAAGGACCTTCTCCTACTCCGCTCCTGTTTCCTGGAATATCTTGTAAAAAGATTTGAAGCTCTCGACCTAAGTGACTTTAAAACTCTGTTAAGTTCTTGTTTTTAGTTTTCTAAATCGCCTTATAATTCAGCTGTTTTCTTTTTGCTACTTTTCCTCTTGATTGTCCTTTTGGTTGCTATTTTGTTTTGATTTGTTAAAAAAAAAAAAAAGAGAGAAATTTAAATTAGTATGCCTATTTTATGACTGTCCATTGTTGTCATCATTCTTTGTTGAAATCAGGCCTCTCTTGTAAATGAGTCCTCGAGGCTCAATGGGATTAACCTGTAGAAATAAAGGTTGAATGAAAAAAGTAATATACAATGGAGCTAGGTTGTTGAGAGCTTTGTAGATTAGAAGTAAGATTTTGAATTCAGTTCTGGATTTGATAGGGAGCCAATGGAGAGAAGCTAAAACTGGAGAGATATGATCTCTCCCAGTAAAGACTCTGGCAGCAGCATTTTGGATTAATTAAAGATGGTGTAAAAAGTATTTGGACACCCAGATAACAAACCATTGCAATAGTCCAGTCTAGATGTGACAAACACATGAACCAGCTTTTCAGCATCATTTTTAGATAAGATGTTTCTAATTTTAGAGATATTACGCAGGTGGAAGGGCGGTTCTAACGTTTTTAATGTGGGGGATAAAAGACATGTCCTGATCAAAAATAACTCCAAGATTTTTAACCCTGGAGCTGTAGGCCAGATTAATCCCATCCATTGAGGGTGAAAGACTGAAACATGTATTCCTAAAATGATCAGGTCCAAACACCAAAACCTCAGTCTTGTCTGTGTTCAAAAGCAGAAAATTTAGGGTCATCCAGGTTTTTATGATTTTAAGACATGCTTGTAGTCTAAATAGCTGATTGGATTCACCTGGATGTTTTCTTTTTTTTTTTTTGGTTGTTGAGACATTTCGTCCTTCATCCAAAGGACTTCAGCAAACTCCCACAAGCAGCACACCCACCCAGTGAACCAAACAGTTTGCTGATGATAAGATGGTTTCTGGGGCCCACCCTCTTCCCTGTCAATTCCTCTGAGGCAGCCATATCCAAAGTGGTTCAAAACATCAAAATTCATGTTTTCCTAACTGTAAGTTTAACATTTATTTTGCAAAATTGTCCATCCATCCATCAATTATCTTTACCGGCTTCTTTCTTTTTGGGTCTCTGGGGTCACTGGTGCCCATGTCCAGCTATCACTGTGCAAGAGGTGGGGGAGAACACCCTGGACAGGTCGCAAGTCCATCAGCTTAATTCTTATGTTTTGCTAATTTTAGGTTCACTGTTTGCTAATTCACCCTAAGGTTTTGCTAATTCTAGCTAGTGTTTTGCCAAATATAGCATCTGTTTAGCTCATTTAGCCTTAGCATTTGTTTTGATTTAACATCTATAGTGCTAATTCTAGCTATTTTTTTCCATGCAGCGTTTATCATCTTTTTTGCTGCATAGCTTTAGTAATTGTTTAGCTAATAGTAGCTACTATTTTGCAATTATTTTTTTCCCCTCTGTTTTGCTTGTTTTAATTTGAAATCTTTTTCACCAAGTTTCAGCAAAGTCATTCAGCGCTCGGATATAACACTTAGCAGAAAATACAATTCATCTAGTTTATTTAACAGTTTTTGTGTATTTATATATCTAAGACTGGATATACTCGGAAAACAGGTCTTAATAATAATAAGAATAAGAATAATAAGAATGATTAATAATAATAATAACAGTATCTGTATTTCCCAGTGCTCCTGAACGCAGCAGTCTTCTTCACGTTAAGAAACGCAGGAAGAGAAAACGATGTTTTTCTAAACCGGATGCCTTCTTGCTTGTTTTACTTCATGTCTGCGGCTCTGAACGTTTTAATGTGCCGCTATTTTCATCTGAAGGTGCGCAGAGTTTTTTTTTTTTTGTTTGTTTTTTTAAATGTTTCAGTAATTTGCCTTTAAGCACACGGAGCAGCTATTGTTTGTTGTCACTTCCGGGCCGAGCCTCCACATCGCGGGTGGGGTAGAAGAAGAAGAAGAAGAAGAAGAAGAAGTAGTTCAGAGGAGGCAGCATCTATGCTTCGTGCGGGAAGGATGGAGGAGTTTGTTACGGAGGAGGACGAGGAGGAGCCATGGTACGACCAGCGGGACCTGGAGCAAGGTGAGGCCGATACAAACATCCGAGCCTCCGCCTGTTATTTCCATATTATCGGTGCTTTTCCACCGTCTCTGCTCAGTCACTTCTGCATCCTGGCTCTCCTGCTTCATCTGCACACTGAAAACACTGCATTTGTCAAGGTTCTGGTTTATAATTTATTTATTTATTTAAAGATAAATGACATCATCTAAGATGTGTGTCCTCTCAGACATTAGATAAGCTCACATCCTCAATGGATTGCTTTTTCACATATTTATAAACTGCTCTCACCTCAAATTGATAAAGTGCTTCTCAGAGGAGACCCCATCACCTGCTGACCTGGAAAAACTAAAGCAGCTTTGCATGTCATTGTAGCATCCACATGTGGGGGGGAAGACAGACAGTTTGAGTTGTGTTTAATCTCCCAAACCCCCCTCAGTCAGAGATTTCAGGAACCATAATTACATTCTGCACAGCATGCTCCCATCACATCTGTGCTGTCAGACTCAGCTAATCGGAGACCACACGTGTCTGTGATGATCCCGTGGGGTGAAATCTGCACATATGGCGTGGCGTGGTGATGTCATGCTTGTGTCTATGCAGTTTCCAGAGGCCAGGGACTGATTCACACACACCACGGAGCATCACGGTGAGCAGAGAGGCGCACGAGTAAGAGATGGATTTGAGTTTGCTTTCTCTTCACTGCAGCTTCTTTACCATTCTACTCCAGAGATTGCATAACTCGTGCCAGGCGCAGGAACGGAAACAACAGCTGAGCTGGGCGCTCTCTCGGCTCATCATCACGCTGCGCTTCAGGCTAATTACGCGTTATCAGTTCTGCTTTGTTGAAACAGGAAATTACAGCTCGTCCCTTCCTCCCTCTGCAGTACAGGAGACAAATGTAGCAGCGGGGACGTGCACGCTGTACACTAATGATTCTTGTCGAACCTGAAAAATCCCTGCAGCCTTTCAGAGTTTGTGAGAACTCGACAGCAAATGTTTAGTTAATCCAGAAATGCTCCGATTCAGGCCTTCTGCTCTTCCTCCCAGCAGGGGAACCCTCCAGAGGGAGGCATCCTGATCAGAGGTCTGAACCGCCTCAGCTGATTGCTTCGAATGTGAAGGAGCAGTGGAAGGAGTCACCACCTGAACCTGGTGGAGGGGTTTGAGTATCCCCATGATCCCGAGGACTGGGAGTCTCTGAGGACAAAGTGGCTCCAAGAAAGAGGTCAGACTAGATGACCTAGATGGTGTTGGACCACCTTTAAAAACAGGCAACCTTAACTGAAGCAGGGTCCCTGGGGCACCCTCTTGGAAATTAACCAAGGTCAGGTGCTGTGTAAGCCATGTGGCGTGCTGATTACGAGCTTTAGGGCAGAGGTATTTGCACCAAAAACAAAACGAGTCTTTTGAGCCAGATTAGAGCTCTTTGACCTCCTTCCTTTCACACATCTCTTATATAAAGCTGCTCCAGAAAACAGGATAAACACTTGAGTTCATAACATAGTTCACCAATATCCATTTTATATTTCTCTTCTGCTATACAGTAGTAGTAGTCCCTCGTTTCTCACAGGAGAGCCGTACCCTGAAGACCCGTGATAAGTGAAAAACTGCAAAGCAGGAATATTAGTACAAGTAGTATTAGTTTATTTTAGTATATTTTTAAACCTTTTCCACACTCTTGCAATATTCTAAACATTGTTTCTAAATGCTCTAAAAGAGCACAGAATGTCATGATTTCAGCTCTCTGCCTCCTCTGCTCGTTGCCACCTGCTAGCGCTCTTGGCCACGCCCACTTCTCCACTCTGCACGGTGAACAGCTGATCAGCTGCAGCAGGAAGTTTATCCTGCATTATGGGCTGCACAAATGTGCAGTAGGTGCTAAATAATTAAAAATAATTCATTTTAAATAAAAAATTCCATGCCGATCGTGCGGCTCATCCATCAATCAGCCAACTGCGTGTCATGTCCACTCTTATTTTGAAAAACCGCGATGGAGCGAGTCCGCGATAAGCGAAGTAGCGAGGGGGGACTATTGTACTTTTAGCTAAGCTTTTTGCTGCGTTTAGCAACTTCTTTTAACACTTCAAATTCGGCTTGTATTTAGATTTCAGCAAAGTCATTCAGCTCTGTCTTCACACCGTGTTTTCACAAAATAAGCAATTTACATTGTTGAAGTTTTATTGCAACGATGTGTTTGATGCTTATCAGCCTCCTCTGATGAGAAAACGTTCACGTCAGCAGTTCTCTGTTTCTTTCTGCCTTTTCACTCCTCCTGTGTTGTGAGCTCCTGGTGCACAGCCAGCTCCATTCTCCTCCTCCTCAGGTGAGCGTCACCAGAGGAGATGGATGATGTAAGCTGTGTTGTCAAATATCAGCTGATGTGAAAGGATTTGTCTGAAAATTAAAAGCTTGCTTCAATCCAATGGACAATTTCTATCAATACTCAAGACAGAAACTTGACATCTTTTCTTGGTTGCAAGTTCCTCAACAAGCATTTGATGAGCCTTATTTGACGTTGCTCCTTCCACATCAAAATCAAAGGTTACAGAGTTATTTTTATTTTTTGGGGGCTTCAGAGTTGACTAACTGTGTTGAGAAGTCTGCATCAATTAAACTACGCTCCGTTTTGTTTAAAGCACAAAGAGAGGCAACGAGAGCTTGTATTTAAAACATCATGTTGGCGGCCAGATGGATGTTTACTTGGACCATATTTGGCCCTCGGGCCTGAGTTTGATATGTACTCTAGTAATAAAGTTTTGTAGATTGTGAGCTGAAATTCGATGTGGTAGTAACTGCGAGTCATCCTCAACACATACTCTGAGCACCAGTGGAGCTCTTTGTGCGTTCCTTTAAGGAATGCTACTTTGAATGTTGAACATTTGGAAACAAAGAACATTGTTTTGAATCATCAAATCCAAATTTGACACAAGTTTGTGAAGTTTTCCAGTTTACAGAACATGTTTTCGGTCCGTGTGCTGTTCACAGCGCAGCAGCGTCGTCTAAGTTGACTCGTCCCAGAAGCTGCAGTAAAACCGTGTGCCTGTCCTCTGTTTGCTCCTGTCAGACCTGCACCTGGCCGCGGAGCTCGGGAAGACTCTCCTGGAACGCAACAAGGAGCTGGAGGACTCCCTTCAGCAGATGTACATCAACAACGAGGAGCAGGTGCAGGAGATCGAGGTGTGCAATCCTGAAAAATGCAACCCTAACTAGAAAAATTACACTTCCTGCAAAGAACTTGCTGAAAAACATCTGAAATTAGCTAAAACATGCTGAAATGAAAGAACAAGCCCAAGTTAGCAGAAGAAAGCAGAAATTATCAAATATTGCTAAATTATGTTTAAATATGCAAAAATGAGCAAAAATGGTAGTTAGGAAATTAGATTAAAAAGATGAACTTAGGGAAAAAAAAAAGCAGAAAAAGCAGAAAGAAGCTTAAACTACTAGAAGAAAGTGGAAGGAGCTGAAATGAGCTAAAAATGTGGGATTAGCTGAAATGCTAAATTTAGCACACATACAGCTAAATAGTAGCTGAAATAGCAGAAAAAGCTGAAATTAGCAGAAATAAGTTAATTAGGGTGAAAGTAGTAGAAATTACCACACAAAACTTGAATTTTTTTGAAAACGGCTGAAATTAGTAAAAAAAAAAAGGCAAAAAAGTTAGCTGAAAATGTAGAAATCAGCAGATGAAAGTAGAGAGCACAATTGTGCACAATTAGGCTGAAAGAAGCAGAAATGAACACACACAAGTAGAAGTTATCTGAAAAACTGAAATTGGCCCCCCAAAAAACCCAGCTGAAAAGTAGCTAAAAAAGCAAAAAGAAGCTTAAATTACCAGAAGTAAATTGAAAGATCACATTTTTGCTAAATTAGGCTGAAAAAGTTGAAATGAGTGCAAAAATGTGGAATTAGCTGAAAATCTAAAATTAGCATAAAAAAGGCTAAATAGTAGCTGAAATAGCAGAAAATGCTGAAACTAGCAGAAATAAGCTGAAAAGAGCAGAACAAGCTGAAATTAGCAGAAAGAAGTTAGAAGAAGCACAACAATGTTTTAGTTAGCAGAAAGAATCTAAAAGGAGCACAAAACAGCTGAAATTAGCTGAAGTTAGTTTAATCTTGCACAAAGAATGAAAAAGAAGCTGAAGCAGAAGAAAAAGTGAAAGGAGCAGTAAAAGCTTGTATACAGATCTAAAGATGTGAAGGATGTAAAATGAGCTCAATTCATTTTCTATGAGAAAAAATGACAGAAAAGGCTAAATGGTTCAACAAGCTAAAGTTGCACCAATACCAATAGTCGTAGCAGGATTGTCCTGAAAGAGCTGAATGTTTTGATATGTGATTTGTTGATATAACACAAAATTTTTGGATGAGATGCTGCAATGCTGAAAAATGTACAGAAGATAAATGGACCACAACAGAGTGAATGCTTCACAAATATTCACACTATTATCCGTCTGAGCATCGGGAGCGTGGACTTTTCATCTGGTTTGGTCAAATGGGATCATTTATGATTTATGCTTTCCACTTCTCTATTAGAAACAATTCATTCAATAGATCTTTAACTTTCACACATTTTTACTTTGATATAGTTTTGACAAATCCTGATTTTTCAATTTTTTTTATTAGTATTTACTATAATTTGGGATGAGCGATTGATGTGAGGGACTCTCGTCTCTGCATCGATCAAAACGTGTGCTTTGTGGAGTCTGTTTTGCTGCAGACACCAGAAACTCCTCAGTTGTAAAGTAGACTGCAAGAGAGCAAAAACTTATTGTAATCATCTTTGCTCATCTCCTGCCTTACTGAGCACATTGGTTTCATCGATTATATGAAGCTGCGTGTGTTTTGTCAGCTTTCAGGTCAATCTAGTTTGTGCTTGTCTTTTCAATCGGCGTCCTCGGTTGAAAATGGCCGTGGATGTAAATAAGCACTGATCTCATTTTGTGCAGTACCTGTCCAAGCAGCTGGAAACACTGAGGGAGGTGAACGAGCAGCACGTGAAGGTGTACGAGCAGCTGGACGTGACGGCTCGAGGGCTGGAAATCACCAACGAGAAGCTGGTGCTGGAGAGCAAGGCCTCGCAGCAGAAGATCGACAGGTGAGCCGGAGCTGAGAGCAGCGCTGCAAGTCGCTGCCGGTGTGAGCTGCGCCCGAACCGGTCTCCAGTTTTTGTTCTTGTACACTTTCATACAGATGTGCGTGAACTCAAACGAGGCCTCGCGGCTTACTGGTCGCAAACGCGCAGAATTCAGAGACCCCCCCCCCCCCCCCCAACTGAAAATGCGTCATCTTTTCTCGCAATTCCACATCAGCTTCGCAAATAAACGTTGTCCTAACCCAGAGGGGCGTTCTGACTGGTTTCTCTGGAACAATATGTGGCAGGACTTACCAAACCCATTATGAAGCTACAGTTCCATGTTTAGTTCTTCATCTAAATGTGAGGAAGAAGAGTCGGTTTTCTGCCGAGTTCAGCAGAAAACATGCTACAGTGATGGGTGTATCAGGGTGGGGGTGGGGGGGTTACTTTTTTCTTTTACATTTTCCTCCAACATCTGTGGTCCTGTGTGAATTACAGTAATCCCTCGTTTATTGCGAGGGTTACGTTCCAGACACACCCGCAATAAGTGAAAAACTCACAGAGTAGTAACACTGTTTATTTTAGTATTTATATATATTTTAAGGCTTTATAAACCCTTCCCACACTCTTGCAATGTTCTAAACTCTTTAACTTACAAATTTTAACAACATGCTTATATTTACTGCACAGTAGCTATTGCAAAAATTCAATATGGGGACTCGCCAGCCTCGGTCCGGTTCTGATCAGCTCTCTGCAGCTGTTGAGCACCAGACACTTTCAGAGAGAGCCGGACTTAGAGAGCCAGCACAAAACCACACAATGGTCCAGATTGAGTCTAAATCCGGATGAAAAAAGTCTGTGAGCTCCGGAGAAAACACTGGACCCTCCAAGCATTGCCTCCCCACTCGAGAGGCCTCATGGGCTGTCAAGCAGCTCTCAGATTGACCGATGAGGCTGGAAGTAGTTCTGGTCCAATTCCTGGTCGGTTCCGTACAACTCTGCTTCCACTGAGCACCAAAGTCACTACTACTAAGGACTGAACTTTTCAGATTAGATCAAAACTTTCCCCCCATTTGAGCAGAAAGCAGTGTCCAGAAGCACTGTTGGCTTCTGGGTAGTGTAGTTCTTTTTGACAAAAGATTCAGTGTAGGCTTATTGGGAGAAAACTACAAAATGGCGGCGACAGTCCGAAGTTTTTTTTCCCTTGAACTTTTTACTGTATCCCGTACTGTCCCAATCACGTGAGCAATATTAAAGTTGACAGTCGTGTACAATTTATTTATTTTTTTTGTACAATCTTACTTTGAAAAACCACAAAAGAGCGAGTCCACAAAAGTCGAACCGTGAAACAGCGAGGGACTACTGTAGTTTTCTTACAAATCTTTTTACTGAGCTAAAAAGGCTAAATTTGCCCATCAGGAGCTGCCTGTTCCTTTTAGCCCCCTTCTTATACAGCACATTTGTTTGGGAATGTCACACTGAGCAAATGTGTGTGTGTGTGTGTGTGTGTGTGTGTGTGTGTGTGTGTGTGTGCGTGCGCATGCAGGTTGACCGGCACCATGGAGACTCTGCAGAGTCAGGTGGACAGCCTCACAGCTCGGGTGGAGGATCTGCGGACTCTGGAGGAGCTGAGGGTCCACAGGGAGAAAAAGGAGCGTCGTAAGACCGTCCACTCGTTCCCGTGCCTGAAGGAGCTGTGCACGGCCCCCAGGTCCCCGCCCGCCTCACACACCGCTGGAAACAGACCAACACCCGACGCTTCACTCTCAGAGCTGAAGTTTGATTTGTTTATTTATGACATTTAAAGTAGTGCTCGTTAGCATTCTCTCAATTTGTGCCCTTTTACATTGAAACGTTCAGCTCATTCTGTGGCTGTGATTTTTGTACTTAAATTTTTTTTTATTTTATTTGCAAATTTCTTTTCCGTAGAAAAATGCAGATTCCTTCAGTCCTTTCCAAAACATTTTTCTCTTAACTCCACTTCCGTACGCCTCATTTGTTTTATTCTTTTTATGATTGGTTTTAGCTACTGTTCTACTTTTAACATTTAGCCACTTAAACTTGCATTTGGCTAATTTGAGCTTTTAGCTTGCATTTAGCCATTTTTGGATTTTAACCAGACTTACTGTTTTTAGCCTTTAGCCATTGTTGTTTTAATTTGAATATTGCTTCTTATAGCATCTAGCTATTCTGCTACTTTTACTTAGTGTTTTGCCAATTTTGGATTTTAGGTAGCTTTTAACCTTTTAGTTTGCATTTGGCTACTTATAGCTAGAATTTTGTTACTTTAGCTAGCTATTATAGAATTTAGGCAACACTGATTCTTTTAGCTAGTGTTTTGCAGTTTTAGCTCATTCAGCTTTCAGCACTCCCATCAGTTTCTGATGAACTGGACGGTCCAGAACTGGTTGTCCTTAAAGAAAGTCCATTTGTTGGTGGGGTTGTGGGACGGAGGGCTGACTGTGTCTCTCCTCAGGTATGAGGATGGTTTCCTGCTGGCGAACCCCGGCAGCGTTGACCTGGTCGAGCCCCAGCCTCTGGACGAGGAAAACGAGCGCCTCAGGGACATCGTCTTGTCCCTGCACTCCACCGTAGCCTCAGAGCGGTCCAGGCGTGAGGGCGTTGAGCGGGAGTGTGCCGTCGTGCTGCAGGAGTTCGAGCGTCTGGAGCAGCGCCTCCTGGGCGCAGAGGGCTGCCGGCTGCGCGTCCAGGAGCTGGAGGCTGAGCTGCAGGAGATGCAGCAGCTCAGGAAGGCCAAGTGTCTGATCGGGGACATGGAGGACGGTTTGGAGGCGTTGCTTAGTAATGGCCCTGAGATGGACACCCCATATGAGGGGGCGGGGCTGGAGGACGGCGGCGACAAAGGAAACACTGGAGAAGGGGGCGGAGTGGGGCAGAAGGGAGGCCCGGTGCGAAAAAGCTGCAGCGACACGGCCCTGAACGCCATCTCTGCTCCGTCAGGAAGACGGCAGGCCAGCTATGCCAACCACGCCAACGGCACGCGCAAACGGGGCATGTCCATCCTGCGGGAGGTGGACGAGCAGTACCACGCCCTGCTGGAGAAGTACGAGGAGCTGCTGGGGAAGTGCCGGCGCCACGAGGAGAGCCTGTGCCACGCCGGGGTGCAGACCTCCCGACCCGTCTCTAGAGACCCCTCCATGAAGGAGTACAGCATGATTCCTGCAGAGCCGTCAACATCTGGGGCCACCGCCGCCCGCGCGCCAACACCTCCCCAGACGCCCTCCACCCCGGAGGCCCTGGAGGGGATCAGCAGGCAGGTGGAGCAAGTGGACAAACGGCTGAGCCAGAACACGCCGGAGTACAAGGCGCTGTTCAAGGAGATCTTTTCCCGACTGCAGAAGACCAAGAGGGACGTGAACTCCAGCAAGGCCCGAAAAAACAAGTGAACTGAAACTGCTGAAGCAGGTTCTGGTCTGAAGTGAGGTTCTCTGGAAGAATTGCACCCGTCTTCTGTTGGACGTTCTCCCAACAAACAGATGGAGAACGTTTGGTCCTGACCCGACTGATGAGCCAACAGCTGGTCTGAGGCCAGGACCAAAGTGTCTCATCCAACACGACTTCCAGCAGGAACATCACAATATTACTGGTGTAAACTTTAAATCTTTTTTTTTTTTTCCACATTGCACTCGTTTTCAAGCAGCAGCGATCCACTTTACTCTTGCTGAGACGTTGGCGCGTCAGTCGGGTCAGAATTCAACCTTTCTTCTTCAGTCTGAGCTCCGTTTGGGAGCAAGATGGCGTCGTTCAGGTTTCCACTGAAGCCCACTTGAATCACAACTCCCCACTAACCCTTTAAGTTGAAGTGTTAAACACTGGAGCAGAAAGTGGATTATTTTCTCTTATAATTAATATTGAACTGCCAAATGTTACAGGCCTTCAGGACGTTTCACTGATCACCCAGCAGGTGACATGATGATGAACTTGTGACCAGAATAAGGAGTCGGCAGTGAGAAAAGATGGTGATTAAACTAAATCTGATGTAAAACAAACTCAAGACTTTTTGAAAGCATGAACTAAACGAGACACAGGCAGTCTGAAGACTTTAATTTGAACACAAGAGATCAGTAAACTGTTTATTACAGACGGCACGTGTCGATTTAAACATCTCAGACAAACCATCAGTCCATGACACACGAGGTGAACGAAGCCAGACAGCATTCAGATATTTATGGAGTGTATAAAAAAGGTTGGGAGGACTGAGATTTGTTTGATTCTGAAGATATATTAAGTTTAAGGGCGTAGAGGCACAGTTAGAGATGATCTTCAATATGGAGCGGTTTAACAGCTCCCGGGACACTGGCTGAAAGCCATCTGTACAAACTGGACTCAAAGTTCATTTATTAGGTTCTCAGACAAATACTAAAGAGCACCCGTCAGTGTAATGGCTTTTTCAGACCTGAAATAAAGATGACTCCAGTCCTCACTTCTGATTCTCTGTCCGTTTATTACAAACTGGGTTAAAACAGGCTCAGTTTTTACTCTGAAGGCAAATGGCTTGTTGGGGTTTCTCTACAGCTGTTAAGGCCACACGGTTAATAAAACAGGAAGGAAGAACCCCTGATCAGGAGAGGATCAGCTGCAAGTGAAAACGGGGGTCAGAGGTAACCGTTTCCCCTGCTCTGTGCTCGCATCGAAACCATTTGAAAGATTACGTAGTTGAATTTGACCCAAAGAATCTGCTTTAAAAGAGTCAGACTCCCAGCAGTGATTGCTCAAAGACCACTTCAAGGCAGGTCACACAAAACGACACGTTAAACACTGATGGAAACCACAGGAAATCATAGATTTCTTTATAAACCTGAAAAATCTGGATTATGCACATTGCTTGCTGTCTTCATTTATATATATATATATATTTTTTTTTTTTTTCTTTTTGAGGATTTAATACTTGTCAGAAAAGGCAGGTGTAAAAAAAAAAAAAAAAAAAATCTGAGTTTTACAAAAGAGGACAATGATGTGATTGGAATCTAAGAAGAGCAGAGTTGGGTGACTGGAGGACGGAGAGAAATGAAAGAATTCAGAGAAATGACGGAATGATGTGGAAGAAAGAAGGATGGGGGGAGCAGAGGAGAATGATGATGGGGATCAGTCCTTCCAATCTTTCTTGATGGCGAGACTCCACTCCCAGGAGAGGTGGTTGTACTTGTCGTCATCGGTGAACTTGGACTTGATGTTGTAAGTGCCGCGGGCCAGCATCCCTTTGGGCGCCTCCTCCATGGTGGTGAGGAACTCGTACTCCTCGGCTGGCCGTGGCCCGTAGCTTCCAACCATGTAGTCCGACTTATCAACTGTTAGAGGAGCAGAGGAACACGGTTGGAGAAAACTTCAACATACAATGAACCTGACCGCACGGCTACAACATGACAACTGCTGGTACAGCTGGACTGACTGGGTCCATTTGTGATCCCAGAATCAAACCAGAGAAATTGCATTTCCTGCGACTATGCAGTGTGAATGCTTAATGCTGAAGAACTTGCTGAAAAACAGCTGAAATTAGCTAAAAGCCCAAGTTAGCAGAAGAAAGCAGAACACATTTGTTGAATTATGTTTATGCAGAAATGAGCATAAAAATTTGGAAATTGGCAAAAAAAAAAAAGATGAAATGAGCTAAAAAATAGACAAAAAGGTGAAAGATGCTTAAGCTACCAGAAGGAAGTGGAAGGAGCTGAAATTAGATTTAAAAAAAATCTGTCATTCCACATGTACCACGAAATTATGTACAAAGGGTCCCAGTTACAGACAACAATAAAAATGTTAAAATTAAGCAAATAAATAAAACAGCTGAAAAGTAGCTAAACAGGCAGAAAGAATCTTAAATTACCAGAAGGAAGTGAAGAGAGCACATTTTTGCTGAATTAGGTTGAAAATTGTTTGAGTGCAAAAAATGTGAAATTAGCAAAAAAAGAAGCTAAAATTAGCATAAAACAGCTAAATAGCTGAAATAGAAAACACTGAAACTTGCATAAATAAGCTGAAAGGAGCATAACAAGCTGAAATTAGTATAAAGAATTTAGAAGCACAAAAAGGTTGCAGTTAGCAGAAATAATCTGAAAGGAGCACAAAACAGCTGAAAAAAAACAACTGCTGAAAGTAGTTTAAATTTGCACAAGGAAGCTGAAAGAAGCTGGACCAGAACAAAATGTGAAAGGAGCAGTAAAAGCTTGTAAACAGATCCAAAGATCTGAAGGATGTAAAATGAGTTCAATTCATTTTCTATGGGGAAAAAAGTGGCAGAAAAGGCTAAATATTTCAAAAAGCTAAAGTTGCACCAATACCAAAAGTCATAGCAGCATTGTCCTTAACGAGCTGAACGTTTTGATTTATGATTTGTTGAAATTGAATAAAAATAGTGGAACGAGAAACATGCTGAAAAACATACAGAAGAAAAAAAAAAAGGATCACAATAGAGTGAATGCTTCATAAATATTCACAGAACGATGTTCACGTCATAGAAAAAGAGCCAGAGATCAGAAAGAGAACTGCTGAACTCTACAACTCTTGTTGCCCCTGAATGTGCCATGTTCAAATGTTTATAATCATACACAAATCTAAATATTGGGAATGTACTGCCATCACACCGCTGAAGGTGACAGACCCTGTGTTTCTGAGATAAACGTGTTTGGATGTGAAATGTGGGACTCAACCCCCAAAACAAGCTAAAGAGCAGTTTCAGCAGCATCTTTACAGAGTGTCATTATCCACGGGGGAACGAGTCCAGCACTGACAAAGAAGCCTTTTCTCTGAGGGCAACAAAGATTCAAAGTACAGTTTGAAAATATCCTGCCCCTTGTGTCACTCTCCTTTATGGAGACGTGTCCTGCGTTGGTGCAGCTGTATAGCCGTCACCTCAAAGACAAGGTGCACACAGACCAAAAGCACGCATGCTGGGCTGATCGGTAACTAAATTGTCCCTAGGTGTGAGTGAGTGAGTGAGTGAGTGAATGGTTGGTTGTCCCTGTGATGGACTTGGACCTGTCCTGGGCCTCTTGCACAGTGACTGCTGAGAATAGACACCAGCGACCCAGAGAGGAAGAAGTGGGTAAAGATGATGGATGGATGTCCTGTGGTGAGGAAACTAAAATTCGGCTGTTTGGCCATATTAACCGATGTTACATTTGAACATCTCCTCTGTGACGCACGGAGGTGGCAGCATCATGTTGTGGGGATGTTTATAAGGTATCATGCTGAAAGAACATTATGTGTAAATATTGAAACATGAGCCAGGAAGTTCAAGCTTGGACCATAGACCTTCACATGGACATGGACTCTAAGCATACAACCATATAAGTCACAAAGTGGCTCAAGGACAACAAAGTTAATGTTTTGGAGCGGCCATCACAAAGCTCTGATCTCAGCCTCGTAGAAAAATTGTCGACAGAACAGCAGCTGACGGAGGTGACTCGGTTCTACTGGTCCAGTCAGGAGGAATGGGTCTAAATTAAATAATACACCAAAACGTTTGATCCAAATCACACAAGTTAAAAACAAAACAAACAGAAAATGAACAGAAACTTGTGACTTTGAAGAAAGTTAAATCTGTAAGTCGTTATTTGGGCATTTAATAAGTAGAAATAATTTGGGGGGATCCTAACTGGCCTGAAACAAACAGTTCAGTCTGATTTATTGTCAGGCAGTGAAGAATAAAGGTTGTGTCTGTTGATACAGTGTCGACGTCCTCAAAGTGTCCGTTAGATCACCACAAATCAGCTGAGTCTGCAACGAACGGCTCTTCCTCTGTGTAACCCGACACTCAAAGAAATGTTTGCTTTACAGACTTAAACATTTCTCTCCACTCCCACATTAAAACATCTCCCAGTCTGCACAAACTGGGATCGTACTCAGTGAAGTCTAGTGCAGGGAACATACAGAGTTTTCTAACCCATCACTGGCTCTGAGGGAAACAAAAGGTAGGAGGATGCTGCAGAGCGAAGACAAACGTTAAATCCTTTGGGTTGAGCATGAACGTTGTTGTATACACTGAAGGTTTTCTCACATGAAAGGTAAATAACCATAAAGCCCGAGTCTGTTAGCAAAACATCCTCATGAACCACTGAACGGATAAAACTCAGTAAGGACTGGACATCAACAAATGTAACAACTCAGCTATTTTGACAGACATGAAGGTGAAGTTTGATTGTAGCTGAGAGTCATCCCCATCATATACTCTGAGGGCCAACAGATTCTTCTGCCTCAGCTGACGTGTCACAAACCGTCCGAGGAACTGCAAAGTGAAACCAGTGAAATAAAAATTGTGGTACCTTTGAATCCTTTCATGAACGTTTGCTGCATGTACTTCAGACCGGACACGATTTCCTTGTTCACCTGCAAAACCCCAACACGTGCCGTGAGCTTCCCACGAACCACAGGACAACTCTACAGAACCGAGACAAACTGAGCAGTGAGTCCAACCTTGAAGTTGATCTTTATTCTGTATTCCACGCCCTCCTTGAGTGTGAACGGGTTCTTCTTGAAGTTATCCAGGTCTCCTGAAAGGAGACAGCAGCAGAGTGAAGACTTTCATGTCCTGCTTTGAACGGTGGTTTGAGGCTTCCGGTAGTAACTCGACCGCCCACCAGGGGGCGCAGTGCTTTAATTAACCTGCTGTAGTTCACTGTGACCACTGAGGGGGGACAAAGAGTCCCACCAGGAAGTGACTCATTAACCCACTTGCACAAGAATCCTGTCAGAAACAATTAGTGGACTAACGAGCCAGCAGGTAGTTGGCTCTACATTACGACTCCCTGCAGAACGTCTGAACTGTATTGGACTTTTAGCTCTACGTGCCTGTCCTCCGCAGAGTTAAAAAAAACTCACCAGTAAGGTCAAGGACCAGAGGACCCGGCGCCGTCTCGCATACCAGGGTCATCCGTGTCACCTGGACATTTGGGGCACTGGGATCTGTAAAATAATAACAATAAAAACAAGTTAAAGCTGTATTGTCACTGGGGTTTTATTTAAATCCACTGATTCAGCAGGTGGATGAGCAAAACGTTCCCATCTGTGTAAGAAAATGTGAACTTAAATAAAAAACAAACTAAATAATGAACAGTGCTCAATCAAGAAGTGATAACGTCCTCACATCACAGTTCACGCATACGTTTAATGAGTTTTGTTGTTTCAGCCACCTGCACACTCAGCTTTAGGGCATCAGAACCAGTAGAGTTTAAAAACTCTAAAGTGCTGACGTAAAGAGAAAACTTGAGATTTACGGTGTGACATCACAGTTCCCCCCCCCCCCCCCCCCCCGTCTCCTTTGTTTACGTTAAAAAGTGCCGGCCTCTGCGGCGGACTCCTGGCAGCACGTCAGCTGAAGGTTTGTGATCACGTGGACTGGATATTCTCAAAAGTTCTGAAAAAGCAGCGTGTGGAAAGATTTGTTTTTGGAGACTGAAGAAGGAAACTATGTGAGGACCAAGTCCCTGAACTGTTGTCACAACAAATAAGGAACATCTGATGCTGTAAACTATTGATACAACAAACCCAGAGGTTTGGGGGAGAACGTCATGAATCCAACACCAGCGAGCGTCTCTCTCGTCATTTCGAGCTACGAGTGTTACTCGGCAGCCGTCACCAACCTGCGACCACAGCAGCGTTTCCCAGCAGCGCCTCCTTGTACTTCCGCAGACTCTCGTCCTCCTTGTCCAGCTCCTGGATCTCCTGTAAGCTCTTCTGGGCAGGAGGTTTGTAGTTGATGGCAAGCTCCTTCTCTTCGTTGGCTGCAGCGATGGCTGCCAGCTGCTCTGGTGTGGGCTCCTGCTCTGCCATGGTGTGCCAGACTGCAACAGCAGGGAAGGAAAGTGTTAAATCGCAGAAATAAAAATCCAGAGTGACACCTCGGTGACCTTTGACCTGGCAGTAAAAACAAGTGCAAGGAGAATGAAAAAGTGTGCTGCTATACACAGTGAAGCATAAACAACACTGTTTAATAATGAAAGAAAAAGACAAAAAACAATCCTCTTTGTCTAAACAGACTGAGAAGGAACATTTGTGACAATAGGCCTGTCACAATAACTAATTTTGCTGGACGATTGTTTCAGAAATTATTGCGATAAACAATAATATTGTTTGAAATTTGACAATATTTAGTCATTATTGTCAAATTGAAGAAGAAATGCTGGTTAATTTGTGTGTAGTACCTTTTTTGACCACCGGATGGCAGTATAACACTGTTTAAACCGAAGGATGGCTAGTGAGGGAGCGAGCAGCGTGTCTCTATGAAAAGGGAGGGAGGCCCCTTGACGCAACATGGGCTGTCTCTCCTTGCTTTATTCGGTTCTCAAAATGGCGGACGCTCGGTGTGGTTTGAGCTCTTTAGCATAACATTTGAGAAAAACAACGTTTTAGATGAAAGCACGAGTTACAACCGTGAATTTTGGAGCTTCGACAAAACGGGAGGTTTCTTTCCCCTGAGGTCTCCTGTTAGCTTAGCTCGTAGCTTAGCTGCTTTTAACGATCCAAAAATGCGATTTTGGATCGTTAAAACAGATTTTAAAGAGAAAGGGAGGGGTCAGTGAAGAGCTGATTTATCGTTCATCGCGACAGGCCTATGTGACAATTGGACTTATTAGTCCATGAACGCATCACGGCTAAATCAAAAACTTAATTTCCCCTCGCAGTCTGTAAACACACCACAGCTAAGAGCTAATTCTCACAGACAGTCTGCAGATCGGATCATTTTACTGGAGAACAAATCAAATCAGATTTGTTTCTTTCCTAAATTAGAGTTGTACTAAGAAAAGCTCAGGACGAGCGCTGCGACTCAGATCCTCCAGTCTGGATGTTTGACATGACATGCTGAAAGAAGTCAACTTCCTGAAAAACGGAGCACTCAAACTGGTTCTGGCCTCGAGCGTTCAGCGCCGACAGAAAGGTGCTCCGAGTGGATCCACGACTAAAACAAACGAGACCAGCGTTCGGTGTTGAGAAATGAGATATAAACTGGAAGCAGAACTGGTCTACAGTGAAAGAGGAAGGTTTAGGAGCAACAGTCCCATCGTTTACATTTAGCTGTTATTTAAACCAGTAACAAATGAGGTTGACGTGGCAGTCATTGTTTATTAGCACAAGAGAGGCAAATAAATCTGACAAAAGCAAACATTTAAACCACGAAACAGACAATCCTGGTGACACTGTGCACAGCCAGCGACACCTGGTTCACTCAAAGTGACCTGCTGCTGCAGACCTTCATATATTTGAGCATGAAGCGTACAGAAACGGAGTATGTGTGTATTTTTTTTTCCCCAAACTGGGCCTCAGCGTTGCCATGTAAGCACAAATTCCTTCGCAGCCAGTTGCATGTTCCAACTGGTCACATGTGTGAGAGCCGGTCAGAGCGAGCTGCAGAGCGGGGAGAACAGGAGCAGGTCCTCCTTCGAGAGTGGAGGAGCAGGTTGCAGCATACCAAGTGGTGACACGGCAGGAAGTGCTCTCTGCACCCAAAAACCTTTTTCAGATGACTTGATTTTTTAGTTTCAACTACAGTGGTGTGCAAAATCTGATCCTGAAGGAGAAAATGAGGAACAGGAACTAATATAAAAAACTGACCAGACCAGTGATATTAAGCAACTTACTAGATTTACAAAGACTGTCCAGATTAGATCTATCAGTTTGTTCCCCACAAGTTCTTCAACACCAACCGGCTAACAAGTGCCAACAAATGAAAAATAAATCGCTCCAAAGAGCGTTATGCAACGCCTGGCAACCACCACATCGCTTACATGCCTTCCTAATTAATAATCAAACTGCTGATTTAGCAAATCACTGCCCACACGCTCCGGATAACAAACCGATATGAGCGCGCGCAGACAGAGATATTCTCTTCCTTCTGGCTGAAACAATGCGAGCTGTGGTTTCAGTGGAAAAGGCGCTGTCATTGTTCAGCCTGCTGGGAATCTGCTCTGCGCTCACGAGACTGAGCTGAAGTTTTGGCGGCTCTACCTGCGCAGATCTGCTTTCTCCTGAGGAGTGGGAGTGGTGGGGTAAAGGTTTGTCTGACTGGGACTAAAGCAGCAGCAGTAAAAACTTTAACTCGCGCCACTGATGGCAGCAGCCGAAGCTTCAGCTGATGTGTGTTCTTTAGGGACAGACTTATCAAAAAGACGCCAGGGTTCTTTACACAGATTCTCCTGAACGTAATGATTGAAAGAAAGTGCAGATATCAGACATACTGACTTGGTGGCTGCATTAATGAGAGCTGAATGGACACACCGGCGCCCCCGCCCTCTTCAGGTGGGTGCAGAGTCTGTGAGGGGCTGCAGGGTCAGTGTAGGACATGTAAAGTGTGCTCATCACTGATGCTGCAACAAAAGCAGGTGAAAATGTTGGAATTTATCCCATTTCCTTAAAAAAAAAAAGTTCCTCTGAAGTTTTTTTTATGAACTCTTGAGAATTTCTGGCAATAAGTTAAGAGGTCAATTCAAGCAAAACTTAACTTTCCAGTCACGCAGCTGTTAAAGGTGACCAACTCACAACTGCAGCACCAAGTAACGGCTGCAACATGATGCAAAGTATTGGTTTCATTAGTGCTACATATATTTAAATTACTTTAATATTCTGATATAAATATGGTACAAACCATAGGCTTTATATATCCGAGTGTAAAACGTCACAACCAGCAGCATTAGGTCATGATTATTTTATAGATACTGTCCGTCCAGAACATACAGCGTATTGTAATGTCCATAATTAAACCAGACAACGTGCAGAGCCAGTGTGTGTTAACTATATCAGAACATTTGGGTTTATATTTATACAAGTGAGCGTGTGTGAATTTGTAGAGTCGAAGAAATTCACATACACTCCTCACAGCACCACTGGACTAAAACACACCCCCACACCTCTGCTTAGTAGTTACAAAGCGTAAATCACAAAGAAAGTCTTGCTTCAAATAAAAATACAAATGGCAACAAAAAAAAAAGTCCATAAATTTAAGATCTATCTTTTTTTTAAAGTTACTTGCAAATTCTTGTAGTTATCTGAGTTACCGTATTCTTCAGACTATAAGACGCACTTAAAATCCTTTTTCTCAAAAATTGACAGGAGATTATAATCTGGTGCGCCTTGTGTGTTAATTCTGGTTGTGTTTACCGACCTCGAACCGATTTTATGTGGTTCCTGTGAACGAGTTGAATAAAGTTTGACTCATCTGACCGTTTCTGTTTCACTTAATGCGCCGTATAGTCTGACACATACGGTAATTAAGAATTACATGCCTAATTATAACACGCAAATTGTTACTCAGGTAAATCTGAAGTTTTCCATCCAGTCAAAGAAGTTTGTGTATTTTTTTCCAACACTGCTAAAGCAACTGATGCTTGTGGCTTTCAGTAAAAGTCTGAATCAATCCAGGAACAACCCAACAACACTAAAGTAAATACAAGTAGAAAAGCTGAAAGCATCCCGCCAGCTCTCTGGACTAACTGCGTTCAACTACAGGTTCTTCTTGTCACTATTAGGAACATGGCTTAAAACAGAAACACTAAAAAAAAAAAAAAAGGGAAGTCATCTCTTTCAGCTGATAAATTTACAACCTGATTTACTTGAACGTGGAACTAAGCTCATATTGAACTTCACGGACTGCTGCTTCGCTCCAAGAGACTGAGAAACCTCGGTGAGCTCTGCAGCTGCTTTCCTCTCAGTCAGCGCCAAGTGGGACCGAGACCTTCGGACTCGTCTCCAGGGCCTCTCCGCTTACGAGTTCTGGTCAAGCTTCTGTAACGCAAGCTCGTCAGAAAAAAAACAAACAAAACAAAAAAAAAAAACAAGCTTGTTTTTGCAATTAAAACTGCATTTACATCTTCATATTTTTATAATAAATATTAGAGAAATCGGTTACGAACAGAACCAAATATTTAGATGACATTAGGAGTTCTTACGAGAAGAGGTATGAATCTGAAAATCAAGGTTAGGGCTGTGCCTCCATCTTGACTGTTAAGAAATTACTGTAAACTTCCTTCTTTCATGTGTGCGACGAGTCACATCCTTTAGCGTGCTAAACCACACCGGTGCAGAGCAGCAGCTCCACTCATCCTAACGTCAGCCAAAGAAGCTAAACCAAGTCGATCTGTTTTTATTAAAAAGATGCTACGAATGCTAAAAAGAGTGAGCAGATTATTTTACCGGTAAACCCGATCCAGTACATGGGGACTACAGAACAAAACGAAAAGCTTTGAGGGGGAAGTGTTGCAGCAAAGGCTCAGAGCTGATGAAAGACTGAAGAACTTGACAGAATTAGAAGAGGAGGAGGAGGTGAAGACAAAATGGAGACGAATGAGGAGGCTTCGGTGTCGTGGGCATCTGTGGCGAGGATTAGACCGACCGGACACAAAACAAGCAACAGAAGCTTGTGAAAGATGAAGACGCAATAAATAATATATCCCAAGAAGGAGTCCAGAACAAGTTGGACGCTTTAAAAAAAAAAAATGGCTGTGATAAATCCCTGCAGCAGGAAGAGAAGAGAAAGTCCAGCTGGGAGACTTTACTCCTGCTTTATCATTCAGTCCTCTCAAGAGGTAACGAAGAGGAGGATGAGGAAGACCATGTTCAGGCTGACAGGAAACAGCTCTTCGCTGTGCTGGAAGGGGGCAGGCATGGATGACTATCATACCTGCATGCATTCCTGTCTGAGATAAGACAGCTCACCAGAGAGGTGCCTAAAGATTGATGCACGCTGACAGGAAAGGATGACTTTATAAAAACTCACTGCAGCCAGTACAAACCAGCTAAAACAAATCTGCTAGGAGAACATTTAATTTAAGTTTAGGTCATTTGTACTCCTTACTATGACCTGCAAAGACCCTTATTTTGTTCAATTCTTCCTCCTTCATACCAAGTGGGGGAGAAGCTAAATGAGACATCCGGTTCTACAAGATTGCACATTTTCAAGCTGAAGAGAAAGCAAAAATATAAAAGTTTGAACAAAACAGGCCAAAAACAAAGACTTTTCCTGAACATTTTTTTAAAAAACAGAAAGAAGGGGAGGATTCATAGTTTGCATGATCTCTCCCATAAACCACGTGCTGCTTATTTGAGTTTAAAACATGCTGCTTTATTATTATAATAAAAAGGTCTACTGTTGTGTTTCAGCAACTGATGCATGCTGACAAAAGGAGCCTAAAAGAGGCAAAATGGAGGCTGGTTTTTAGGTGTGAGCTAAATTAGAGAAGTTCCAGGAAGTGGTTGAAAATGCTCCTCAGACGACCACGTTACCCGGATTACAGACTGATTTAAAGAAGATTCATTAAAATAACTCCAGAAAACTTCCCATAGTTCAGTTTATTTACTAAATGTGTGTGAAGTTAAGGTAAAGGATGATCTTATCGTTACCTAACCCGCTTTCACTAGCAGGTCAGACCGAGCTCGACACCCGGAAATTCACCACTGATTAGTCCTACACTTTTCATTCAGGGAAGACAACTTTTTTTGACATTACAATTAATTTAAAGGTAACTGTTTGAAGCATGAACGCCTCCGTGACATTACTTTAAAGCCAGCCGAAGAAGCTAAAGTAATAGCCTCTGAAAGTTGCTGTTTTGGTAAAGAAGTAGTTCCTGGAGGAAATTCACGTCAGTTTTTCCACTCTTTTGTTCTAAATTTAATTTAGAAAACTTTGCTTCCAGCAGTTTAAATGTAGATGCGTTGAAACGCTCTATTAAAAATAGTCTCCTAAGGTATTTTCCCCCTGAATTGAAGTCTTACCGTGTCACTTCTGCTTGGCTGGGGCTGCGAATCGGAGTGAAATGAAGCGGCGGAGGAAAAGTAGAGCAAGCTAATGCTAACTGTCTACATCCGGTTTATTGACCTTCAAAACAAAAGCAGGCTTGAAGGAGACGACCAAAAATAAATACGCAAACTTTCACCTTTAACCAGCCGTTTACCAACAAGCAATGCTTTAAAGTCTTAAACTAGAAAAGCATTCAAGTAAAATTTGCTTTCCTTTGAATCAAATATCCACTAGTATTTTCTTTATTCATCGATTCTTCTTTTTCTTTCGGCTCTTCCCTCATAAGGGGTTGCCACAGCAAGTTATCCTCTTCTATTCAACAGATCGATGATTCAGAAATTACAAATAGTTCTTAGCTTTATGCAGAAAATTTAATTCAACTTTTATTTATACAGGTTAAACCCATTAAGCCTGGAGAAATCATTTACAAGAGACCTGAATTTTTAACAAAGAATGATGACAACAGTGGACAATCATAAGAGATGCATACATTTTTTTCTAAAACAAGTTAAAATAAAATGGCAATCAAAAAGAAAAGTAGCGAAAAAACAGCTAGACTATAAGGCAGTGTAGAAAACTAAAAACAGGAACGTGTCTGCATTGGTTTTTGCCAGGAACTTAACAGATGTTTGCATCCATTTAGAGGTCAAGAGCTTCAGATCTTTCTACAAGGTATTCCAGGAAACAGGAGCGGAGTAAGAGAAGGCCCTTTTGCCTAGTTCAGCCCTCACTGAGGGAACACTGCAGGTAATAATGTCCTGAGAGCGCACGCTGTAACTGCACTCACACAGTGACATGATGATGTATGAAGGCAGCAGACCAAGAAGTGATTTAAAGATAAAAATGTACCAGTAAGTCTGTGTGAGGTTAATGACCAGTTAACCAGTGAATACAGGGTGCAGTGGTGGACGGTAAAGTAGTTACAGCCAGTTATGAATCTTATCGCAGCATCCAATATTTGCAAGGTGCTTGTTGGGTGTTCATGTAAATGTCACCGGTCATTGGAGGGAAGGAAAGTCGCACTTACAAGGCGTTTTCTAGCATTCAGGAAACAAATATATTATGAATATTTGTAGATCACTTTCCAATGACATCGCCAACAGCCCTGAAATAGTCAAATTTAATATTTATACTGATTTTTAAACTATTCTCAAGTAAAACAACAGCTCATTGCTTTGATAACACTATAGATAACTGTCAATATATACAGCATTTAAAACTATCCACTTGTCTAGATCTTCTTCACAAAAGCACTCCGTTTAATTTCTGTATGCTAAACCTTAAACTTTTAATCTTTGAGCTTTCCAGAAGTCCACACGGACTAAAACTACTGTGGTGTTACTTATTCAGCATAAACGCAATACGCTTTAATTGTGAAAACTCAACCGGAAGCGGCTCTTCAGAAACTCTACCGGAAGAAGCGCACCGACTCTCGCGGGTAAAAACAGCCGCCTTTTCGAATCCGGAAATAAAACTTCTTTTTTTGTTTTCGTCTTATATTTGACAGTACGATTTTTTTTTAAAAAGAAAAACTAGTTGCAGTTAAGACCTGATAAGGTACTAGTGGTCGTTTTTGGTAACATTTAAACTTTTAATCTAACCAGTGAATCAAAAAAAAAAAAAAAAAAAAAAAAAAAATTACAAGACGACATCTAGTGGCATCTTTTTTGGAGGCTTGTAGTTCACCTTTAAAACTTCAGGTTTAATCAGCCTTAGATGTCCACATTTTCTAACATACATACATATATATATAAACCTACATAAAAACTCTAAATAATTAAGTGCAATACTTAACGTTTATTCAAATATTAATTGTATGCGTCCTACTTTGATACAGACACGAATGAGAAAATCATCAATCTCAAGCCATTATCAACAATCAGGTTAAAACAAAATGCAACAACATTAAAATGATACTTCAGTTTTTGGTTAATGAGCACTGCAGGTTTTTATTACAAGTTTCGTTCACTACAGGGCAGAGGGCGACTGGGAAACAACCTACAGGCAAATCCATTTTGATCCCAAAAAAAAAAAAAAAAAAAATACTGGTAAAAAACACTTTGGAGTATTTAAAACAAAGGATCGAACAATGTCAAATTACATAAGACGTCAACCAAGTGTAAAATATTCTGCACATTTGTAACAACCACACTCTTCTGCGCAGACAAGAAGGAACGAGGAGGAGGAAAAACGTCAGCTTTTAGCTGGTGTCCATCTGAGAAAACAAAAAGTGAAATTAGACCCTTGCCAGAAAAACAACATGTTACTTCGCAGGTGTCACAACGACAGACGAACATACTCTGGCATTGTAGGCGTCTAACTGGGCATCGAGTTCCTCTGCCGACAGAGACTGCTTTCCACCGCCGCTGCCACCCCGACCTCCCCGGCCCCCTCTCCGGTAGAATGTGCCACGCCCTGCAACAGCTCCCATGCCAACACGTCCTCTACTTCTACCTCGCCCTCGACTCATTCTGAAAAAATAGACAATAATTACACCCATAACCTTCAGTGTTACGTTTGGTAAATATAAACAAAAACACTTGCTTACGGCATAAGTCGCCTCTGTGTATCAATCTGTGACGTGACGAGCTGTATGTTCATAGGCCGCCCTACGGAGACAATAAAACTCGTCAAACGGGCAGAATATTATGGTATTATGAACTTTCAACTTGACAAGTGCATCAAATACTTTGAGTTTTTTTTACACGGTCAATTGTGACCCATGTTTGCAAAATGAGAACGAATAAGTCAAAGTGCTAAGAGAAAATATAGATTTTTGCTGAGATGCAGAGAACTAATTTTATCATTGTATAGAAACACACAATGATAACACATAGCACTTTATTCATTCCAGCAATCCCAGTCACTAAGATCGCATCTAATCTACCTTCAAACTTTTAAACAATTAAAAAATATATATTTTTTATGTTATAATTTCCTTTGAAACTGACCATTTTTCTCTGCTGTTGTAGTGAAAATAGTTCTGTATATTTAATTCATCACTGGAACAAATGGCTAGGATGTCAATTACTGTACAATACGCAACAGTAGTGCATGTATGTATAGTCATTCAACCTTTACATGTACGGTACATATGCATACATGTATATACATGAATGCTTAGATGTGCATGTATAAATAAAGGTTAATGATTAATCTCTACCGCCTTGTGCGTGTGCATATTGTCTTGTGTATTCTGCTTCTTTTTTTATTATTTCATGTGGGGTTTTCCTTCTTTCATTCTTTCTGTATAATTAGAACATGCTACTGGATGCCTTGAATTTCCCCCTGGGATTAATAAAAATCTGTCCATCTACAAATCCCTATTGTAGATAGGGCCAACTTTTATTAATCCCAGGGGAAAATCCACACAGAATCACACAATATACTGAAGTTTAGACTCATGCTTTTATATATATATCTTACAAAAACTGTCATGCAAGTGTTCTCCAAGACAAGGACGTAGAGTTAAAACGTACCATCAAGTGGGATGCCATTATATTGTTTCATGGCCTTAAGAGCATCTGCCTTCCTTTCAAAATGGACGTCTGCTGTTCCCAAGCTTCTTCCCGATCGGTCGTAATGAACGGCAGCTTTCTTTAGCGTTCCAAATTCAGCAAAAAGTTCCTTTGAGGAGACACGAGAAAAGAAATTACCCTTCTTCAGCAAAAACTGTGACCAACCTGTAAAGAGCTACGATTCAAGTACCTGAATGTCTGCATCAGACACACCAAAGTCCAGATTGGAGACGAGGAGCTTCCCTCCAGTTTCCATGCCAGCTCCGCCGCCGCCCCCGGCAGCGCCATTGAAACTGCTGAAGCCGTTGTCAAACATGTCGTGCTGCCACTTATCTGGGAGCTGTTTAGGCTGCAACAGATGAGAGAGAACGCACCTGCTGACTTCAGGATCCCCTTGCCTCTGTCAATAACAGAGTCCACACGGCTGGGTGTTGGGGCAAGCAGGGGGGCTCCACTTCCAATAGGGTCAGGGTGCTCAGCTCCCTCACTAGGGTCCCCCTTCCCCCAATGTTCCCTGCCCACCCCATCACTACAAGCAAGTGAATCAGCTGACAGAGGGACACACAATACGACCTTACAAGGGGACATGTACCTTTACAGATAAAATTTCATCTAATTTAACACGATTCTCCCACATTCACATTATTTTTCTTAAATCTAAATCAGATTTTTTTTGGGGGTTATTTTATAAGTCAAAACATTTGTAAATGTATTTAATTTGTCTGTGGCAAACACTGAAAACCCTCCAAGTTTTAAAAACAAATGGATTTGTGTTTTTTAACGAGTTTATGGTTGAAACCATTGGTTCCCAAAGCCGAGACCCCACTGCGGGTCATAAAACTTAAAAGACTAATTTCAGATATCAAAACTAAAATCAAACTTGGCCATCATTTAAAAAACAGCACTCTTCCATAGATAAAACACATTTATGTGGTTGTGTCGACAACATACCCTTACTGAACTGGGTTAGCAGCAATATTTAGGATTGCGTTATTACATGTTGCAGTTCCTGATGTGTTTGGGAACTATTGGTTTATGTAATTTTTCACAGTACAAGTACTACGACAAATCAGGGGTGTCCAAACAAATTCATATGTGGGCCAAAACCTTGAAGATGAACAGCGTGGCGAGCCACAAAAAATGTGAATTAATAAATAACGTGTTTATATTTTTAGTGTTTTTTTTTTAAACTCGGCGTAAATATTTTAGGACAAAATTTATTGATTTTGATTAAGATGGTGTTCGAAATTATTGTAGATCCGAATTATTAAAAGCTTCATAACAATAACGTTTTATTGCTTTTTTTTTTTTACTCATTAGATATTGTTCATTCATTGTGAGATATTTTGTATCAATTTTGCTGTTAAACTTAAAAATTATATAAAAAAAAAACCCTATCATTAAATTTGTAAAATCTCTTAAGCCTAGAGGCCAAAATTATACCATCCTTAAAACTGTAGTTGTGGGCCACATAAAATCACTCCAAGGGCCACAAACGGCCCTCGGGCCACACTTTGGATACCCCCGACTTAAACAGACAAACTTATTCCAATTAAAACTTCAATATAGAAAAAGCTGAGTATTTTAGTTAACTTGTTACCAAGTATAATACAGCATACGAAATATACAGCTAATGTTCGCATTAAAAGTCTTGAGTAAAATAATAAACTCTTGGTGTTCTTAGGTAAATTTGAGCATTTTAAAACAGTATTTTTTTTTCTTCCTAAGCCTGCACTTGAACCATCATGCGATACCTCTGGTAGAATTTGAGACCGTCTATTAAATAGTTACCAACTTAAAATTAGAACAAGTCAGACCCACCCAGAAACCTTATACTAAACCTGAAAAACTCCCCAGGCTAGCTACCAAAGTTGCCCATTGTTCTCTTGCCATCTGCGCCTCCCTCCAGAAAAGCTCCTCGGATACTCTGAGGACTCCCCGTCCGAAGAAGCGGCACCTCCGACGTTGGACCGCGTGTCCTGGACCCCTGGAGAGTTCGTTGCCAAACACGAAACGGGGCTTCGTGAAGGGGAATAGTCCATATGATGGAGGGGGCCAGGAGGCCAGATATATCCCCCTCTGTATGAGCGTGGCTTGTGTGAGCGTCCATTTTGAGACCACGCCATTTTGACTGGGGCTTTGTTTGACTTCCCCAGGAACTCGCTCATTCTTAAAGACGGCTGAAGAATTGCTTTCGAACGAAATCTATCAGAGAGGGTTAAAAGTCCGCTTTTCCATCCATAAGTAGGCAAAATGGTTGATAACCCATCAAACGGGCCTGAAGAAACCCGCCAGCCACTCCCCGAACAAAAGGCCGTCTGGTCGCTGCTCACACACGGGGACGTGGGACCCTTTGCTCCCATTATCAGTGAAACCACATGAAAATCTCGACGAAGTGGTTGCCATTCATCATCAATTTTGGGCTGTAGAGCTTTTACTGACCGTTGACGAGAACGGACATTATGGTGCTGGATTCAAAATGGCGCCGGCTAACATCCGCTCTCTCCAAACGAACTCCTCTCGATGTATTTAACACATTTTGGGTTGTGGGAGAAGGGACACAATATGAAAACATTTCACTGCTTACTCCTCTTAACATTCTCATACCCTGCTGTAAGGTGTCGGTCTGCTTGTAGCGCGGCTCATATTCTGTCGGCCCCTCATGGGGCCGGATCCGCCGCCTCGGCCTCGAAATCCTCCGCCGCCGCCTCCGAGACGCCCAGCGCCTCCACCACCACGGGCGCCAAAGCCTCCGCGGCCTCTGCCTCTACTTCCCCGGCTTCCACCTCTCTGCTGCCTGTTCTGTTTGATAATGTCATCTAGAGACATATCCATCTTATCGGTCATCGTGCTGCCCCAATATTACTAAACTGTGAACGAAATAAAAAAAAATTACGCCCTAGACTCGATCGGTCCCTCTCCCTGTCCTTTCAATGCTTTCAACACCCGACTGCGCAGCGAGCGAAACACAAAAAGCAAACGTAACGTACTAGGATACGCATAAAACGTATGTCATACGTCATCACGTTGTACGTGTAACTAAGACTCGAGCGCCCTCTACTGTTTGTTTTGCACCACAAAACGGACATCTTTGACCGCAGATTCATAGTGCGCTGCATTTAGAGGTGAAGCATCAAATAATCAATTATATAATCAAGTATTCCATCCATCCATTATTATTATTATTACCTGCTTCTTTCTTTTCTGGTCACGGGGGTCACTGTGTGAGAGGCTGAGTAGTGAGTACACACTGGACATGTCTTTGGTGCATCACAGGGAGAAACAACCATTCACACTCTCTCACACAAAAGGACAATTTAGAGTTGTGCAAAGTGAATAAATAAAGGTAAATCCCAAATCAATGTATTAGTGTCCGCCCATTCCTTTGAAAACTGCATAAAATCTCAAGATTCAACAACATTTTTTATGCACTTTTATAAAACATGCAGTTTTGTACTTGCTGCTCCAACAATCTTCAATTACTGTTTTGTAAATCACACACCTCTCTCAATAAATGCCAACTGCTGTTGTAGAATTTTGCTTTGTGTAAAATATTTTCTGGTTTTCCTTCCTTTGTTTGGCAATTACATTTTAGGAACAAAGCATTCCATCGTTAAAATCAACGATGCACCTTTAGACCAGATTATTAATCATGTACAATCAATACAAAAATGATACTGTAAAAGTATTTTATTCAACATTATGTGTCAAGGCTTAGAGGATAGGTGTTATCCAGGGGCTGCACACTTGCAATTTCTAGGCAATAAAGTCCGTCAAGGGCAAAAAACATCATGTAAAAAAAATGGTGGGCTTCTTATATTGTACTTCGGCTTCCAAAACTTTCCCATAAGTTTGTGTTCAATGTGACTGCTCAATAATTTCTATGACTTATCAATCTACTTACAACCCCCCCCCCCCCCCCCAAAAAAACAAACCAGAAGTCAGCTCTTTCACAATAGCCTCAAATGTAATTTAATAAGTATTACTAATTGTGTTTAAGACATCACTCTTCTTTATCTTGTTGAGCTTCAGTTTGTGCCTCAGGAACAAATCAATCAGTCCCATCCATACCAAGTCTGTCAATATGTAGACATTGCTAAATGAAAATAACAAAGAGAGAGGAGTATTTGTGCCCCTTGAAATTCCAGTTGTTTTTAATCCTTCTTGGTTGTAGAGGCTAAAAAAACATGGGTAGCTATGGTCCATAGTATAGAAAAAAGACTGTTACACTTGCCAACAGCATTAGGTTTCTGGCTGTAAGTGAGCGGATAAATGAAAAGTTCTTGAGAATAATGGATGGGGGGGTGGGGGGGTGGATAGGGGATGAGAGCATCACAGGAAACACTAAGATTTCTTGGAGTCCTGTGTGTTGCGCTTTTTTAGGTCACTCAGGTCCACTGGTGTGAAAGCTGCAAGAGAACAAAGACAAAAAACAAACATTATTTCTGGTCAGTTCTTAGCAACAATAATCCTTACAAACACGGAAAATTAATTATTAATTAATTAATAATGTATAGTCTAACTTACAATGTAGGTTAGGATTGGGGTTCTTCTCCACGTACTCCTGTGGTCCACGTTCATTACGTTCACTATTTTGTGTTGATCTGATGTCTCTGAGCACACACTGCCAGGCTGTGAAAAACAAATCATATCATGTATAAAGCACATGTCAGAAGACTTGTTAATAAAGATATTACAAGATACGATGAAATCGGACTTGACACGTGGTATAAGAAAATAATAGAGCTTCACTGCTTCCAACTTAAAGTTGCTGACTCTACCCTGCAGCTGTATTTGCTGCTGACCCAGAGGCCTATCAGTGGCAGATCAAACAATCTGGTAGAAACTCAAACAAACAAACCCTAAACTAAAAAATGAGTTCTGAGTCCACTTTTAAAAATTTCCACTCTACAAAAACAGAGACTGGAAATTGCAGCTAGATCTACTAATAGGTTTTGACTAGGGTTGCTTTTAGGTGCAACTGTGCATGAAACTTTATGCATGCTCAAAGGAGGAACCTAAACTTCCCAGCAGCTTTTTAATATATATATTTTTTGTTTTACTGCTTTATTCTGAAGTCTGTACAAAATCATAAATCTGTTACTCAAATATTGGATCAGGTAAGAAATGTCAGCTGAACAGGAAATCTGGCACCAGAAACATATCAACTCTTTGTTTGTCCTCAACAAACACCTGCTCACGTCAGAAGCATCATCAGAAGGGAGCATCATTACACCAGCCAACAAAACAACTAAAACTTTGTGAGCTAGTGCAGAATGTCTAGCATTTGTATGTAATGATTAAAGATGTTGGATAAGGGATTTTTACTGCAGGTGTAAATGAAGAAACCCCCTGGAGCTCAATATTACAGTTGTATCTGGAACAAAAGAAACATTCAGCTACAAGAAACTTATCGTAGTTAACTTGAGGAATGTGAGCAACCAGATTTAAGATTAGAAGAATGTCCAAAATTTGGCATTCCCCATTAAAACAAGTGGGATTTTATTTTCATACAGCTGTTTCTGCAAACGTTAACAGCTTCTAAAAACAGGTTAAAACTGGATAATACTCATGTTAGGTTCTGAAAACCCCAGTGTTAACATTAACAGGTTTTTAAACACAAAATTCATCCAAGAATTGTTAACGGCTAACTTACTATCATGTATAAAGCGCACGTTTTCCTCATGAGCCGGGGTAAAAAGCTCCCCACTGTTAGTCGGTGATCTGGGGCTTGAAGTCCTCTTGTAGCTGTTCACCATCCTGGGAGCAGATGAGCTTTAGAAGCATGAACAAGATCACAATCAGCAGCTTAGTAAGCATTAATGTATTTAAAACTGATGTAAACTTATACACGATGCTCTTGAGCGCTGTAAGTTTTTCCAGACCTGGTCATCCTGTTTGGAGTCTGTACTTCTAGCTCCTCGCTCCTCTTTGGGTGAGTGGATTTTAAAAGGATGAAAAGGGCCACAGGTCCTAACTAACACACAACATTGATAATGTCAGTACTCACATTCAAACAAATGTATATGAGATACAAAACAGCCTAAAACCATTTAATTCGAGCTAAACTGTTAGACGCAGCCTTTTTATTTATTAGCTTATCACTATTTATGCACAAAACTAACAAATCATCAGATGATTTCAGCTAGGATTAACATCAACAAAACACAATCCCATTTAAAGCTGTGGATTTATAATCGAAAACTAGGCTGGGCTTTGCTTCTGAAGAAAGAAGAGTTTTTAACATTAGCTAAACAGGAAGCCTTTTGTTTACGTTTTGACTGAGCAGCTTCAGGGATGCTAACCTGGTTACAGACACACAACTTAACCAAATGAACAAGCAGCCTCTTTTAAACTATCGTCAGGTATATTTCTCATTACATCTATGCTTCAATGTGATATTCCCATCATATTAGCTTGTTAACTTTAGCCTCGTAGCTACCGAGCTACTCATATTGTCTAAGCGGAGTGTTAGCTTGGAGCCGCTAACGATATTGCCTCAACATTTACTGCGATAAAAATTTAATTATGCAGAAGAACCGTCAAAATTAAAATGCTTACACACTTCTCCACTAAAACATTGTCGAGATGTTAACAAACCTCTGAAGGATAATTCCCTTTAATTTCTGTATTAAGAATAAGGACCCCGTTGGAAGCGGCTAAAACGTTGCCAATGCCAACCAATCAGTTCTGGCGAAGAAGACACGGAAGTGATTGGAAGGACTTTCAAAATAAAATAAAAATGAGATAAATTTACTGTGCATGTTTTTGGAAAACCTTCTTTATTCATTAGCTTTAATAGAATAGTTAAAACTATATAAAAAAAAGCACAAATAATCTGAAATGTAGATAAAATTAGACAGTCCATCTGAGTATAAAAATTCAAGTGAGAGATTTCTAAAAAAGTTAAATCTGGTCCTCTGGACATTCAAAAAACAAAACAAAGCAAACAACAAAAAAATGTAGAAACGTTTCATCTCTCATCCGAGAGACTTCCTCAGTCTGAGGAGCTGTATTCAGCTCAGTCTCTTAAATAGCACCGTCTCAGAGTGGATCAACCAGTTTTGCTGCTGACAACCAAAACCAGCTGATCACATGCTCAAGAAGGACCATCAGCCTAACAATGGATCATTAGCACACTGATGGCTGTTTACTGTTCACAGAGGGCTGAGTGATACTAGCAATCACAGCATTGTAAGAGGGGGACAGTTGAACCCGGAGGCCTCCACCCCTGTTTAATGATGGACGGTTTCTTTTCACAAAGATGGCCTCCTTTATTCCTCTCTCAAACCATCGTTCCTCTCTGTCCAGGATGTGAACATCTTCATCCCTGAAAGAGTGACCGCTGGCCTGGAGATGAGTGTAGACCGCAGAGTCCTGGCCTGATGATGTTGATCTTCTGTGCTGGGCCATCCTTTTGGCCAGTGGCTGTTTAGTTTCCCCGATGTAAGACTGATCACAGCCCTCCTGACACTGAACAGCATACACAACATTACTTTGCTTGTGCCGGGGGACTGGATCTTTGGGATGAACCAGTCTTTGCCGTAATGTATTTTGGGGTTTAAAAGCCACTGGGACGTTATTTTTAGAAAATAAACGTCTCAGTTTCTCTGATACTCCCTCAACATATGGAATGACCACTGGTCTGGGTCTGGGTTCCTCCTTTTCATCTGTTGGCTGACTGGAGTCCTGTTTGGGTTTGCATCATCAGTGGCATCATTCCCAAGAGCCTGGAACTAAAATCTTCGGTCAGCGGGCACCGGGCAAACAAGATCCTTCAGAAGGCACAGACCCAGCTGCTGAATGAACGGGTGAGACAGACTGAGGAAGTCTCTCGGATGAGAGACGAAACGTTTCTACATTTTTTTTGTTGATTTGCTTTGTTTTGTTTTTTTGAATGTCCAGAGGACCAGATTTAACTTTTTTAGATTTTTCTACCTGGATTATTGAGCATGCATCAGGAAGTGAGAGATTGTTTCTGTTCTTGTTTGCAGAATAAGAATCAAGATTAGTACGGCTTCATTGAATATACCATACCATACCATACCATACCATACCATACCATACCATACCAT